AGACTGCAGGGTTGGAGGAGGTATCGGTCGGTGTTTGGTCGGGCTGAGGGGGGCGAGTTATCGGTCGGCTGGTGCTGAGGTGTTGTACTCTCTTCCCTTGTTATTTCCTTTATCATTATTATCATTGGTGGTAGCAGTAGTGATCTGTGTTATACCTTAGTTACTAAACTGTTCTTATCTCAACCCGTGGGAGTTGCATTCTTTTCGATTTTCCTCTCCGTCCCTCCGGGAGTAGGGGGAGGGAAAGAAGGGGGGGGGAGGTGAGTGAACGAGTTACCTGACTGGGTTTAAACCACGACAGAGGGGCATGAGAAGCTGGGGGGAAGCAGAGACAGGACACCTGACCCAGACTAGCCAAAGGGGTATTCCATACCACAGCACGTCATGCCCAGTACAGAAACTGGGGGGAGTTACCCGGAAGGCCCAGATCATTGCTCAGGTCAGGCTGGGCATTGATTAGCGGGTGGTGAGCAATTGTATTGTGTATCACTTATGTTTATTGGGGTTTATTCCTCTCTTTTTCCTTTTTGTCATGATTATTATTATATTTTACTGTTGTTTTAACTATTAAATCGTCCTTATCTCAACCCACAGCTTTTGCATTATTCTTTCTCCCCATTCCAGTGGGGCAAGTTGGGGGCACTGAATGGCTGCGTGGTGCTTTGTTGACAGCTGGGGTTAAATCATAACAAGTCCACGTAGACCTGGAGATTTCTAATTTTTGACAGCTTGGATAACTTTACAAGTACCCAACTCCTTTGTAGTGGCAGCAGTATTCATAAGAAATAGGCACCGTGTCTGCTTGGGCACATAAAATCAGTAATTCACCTCTGAGAAATCTCTAAAAAAAGAGCCCCAAGTTTTTGCCTGCATATACCAAAGAGTAGTATGTAATTGTTGTTAGAGGTCATGACTGCCACTAAAAACCAGTTCACCCACTGTGGTGAACTCAGATACTGACAAACCCTGCCCATGGAGCACAGTTAGGACTTCTGGTCTTGTGGATGACAGAGCATTTGCAAAAATGTTTTACAACCAAAGACTTCAGGACCCAAGTTTAGATACTCTTTCATCTCAGTTAGAGAAGTATATGATCACTATATGGGCCATGTAGCTAACAGGTGGACCATTTACCAGATTTTTAAATCATTGATCAGAATTGATATGCGTCTGAGGCATGCTGTAGGATAATCATAGAGTAGTTACTTAATTCCTTGGCATTCTTCTCATCCCTGCTTCTTCGTATCACCCTTCTCAAACTGAAGTTTTGTCATTTTATGTTCTAAAAGCTTTATGGTTCTTGCCCTCACTTTGGATCTTGCATCCTACATATTTATCATTTACTGGTCTAATGGATAAATAGAGCAGTAAGGGGCAAATTGACCTGCCTGAGAAAGAAAAGCAATACATTGCTACCTATGTAATTGCTGTCCAATTTCCCAGAATCTCACATTTTTTTTGTATTTATTGTTCTTCTGATTAGTAAGCAAGAAATCTGCAAGTGTAACTATAAAGCCTGTCTTTCTCTCACAGGTACTGGTACTGTCCAACATCAAAAGACTGGTGGAATAGGAGTAAGGAATATTTTAAGGGAAGAAAAAACAAATAATTTTTGATGGAAGAACTATCTGTATAATTCAATTTTAGTTAATGCAACTATATGGCTACATGAGCCAGCTATTTCCCTAGGCTTTCCCAATAATCACTGGAGACAAAGGTTCCTCTGCAGGAACACTGAGTCTACCTACTGCAGCTCATGAACGCTGCCTTTTCAAATATAAAACCAATTATCAGACTAAATAATTATGAGGTGTTAACAGATGCTAATTAGACATCACTCTAATCTTTAGCATCTATTAATAGATGCTAATATTAATAGACATCAGTCCAAGCTTTAGATATGAAAAGTGTCAACACAATGTCACCAATAAGTAAAACACAAAAATGTTACCCTGGTCATCATTTAAACGTATTTTCTACAGCAAATGTTTCACCAACACAAAAGTGCCAATTCTGACTAAACTTCAGTTTAATCACTTTGTTAAGAGGTTTTATTTAAGTGCATAGGGAACATTACAAATTCCCTGACAGAATTCCAGTACTACAGACAAGACTGATGATTTTTAGGGCTTTTTTTGGTACTTCTTTTTTCACCATGGAGTTAGCCCACACCAGGCAGATGATTCTGGTGTACTTCATACAGTTTAAAAACTTTTCTTGTAAGATGGAATCTTTCAGCTTCTCCGTATTCTTTCAAGACCACAAATGCCATAGATTGATATGAGTGATTATAGAGTGATGGATTATATGTGTAATTAAGGAGTATCACTATGCTGTTTATATTATTTATTATACTAAAAATCTATGAAAAGGAGGGTTTTTTCCTTACACTGTTTATGAAAGGGCAGGTGTATCTTTTAATATCAAGTTAACAGCTGTTTGAGAACATGCCACCACTATTGATTCTCTGAAGTAATTACCAGTTGTAAAGCTGATGGAAAGAACAAAAGCTTTAATCTCAAAGCCATTTAAATATTGATATTTTTATTTAACACCTGTAATCTATTACAAACAAGTTTTTATCTTTAAACTGAATGTCTTCATTTAAAGTAGTAAAATATACTATAGGAAATGCTTCAGAATACTTTAAATCCTTAGAAAATGGGCAGAAATGCAGAGTGGAAAGAAAACCAGATTACATGCAATGGGACAAGTGGTCATGTTTTCCCTCCTGGTGACAATGCAACTTGGCTCTGCAGCTCAAAGTTTTGAAGTGTTGGCTACTACCAAAGGGAGCTATTGAACTGTGCTGAGCCTCAACTTCTGCAGGGCATGAGGACCCTGCAAATTAAAACTCAAGCTGAGCACTGAGAGTCACAGGGGCTGGAAATCTAGGGACTCTGCCGTCCCTTAAATGCTCTGCATCATCTCAGGCATCAGGTCTCAAGCAGGCCTCTTTCCACTGCCCAGCTGTCAGTTCTTACTCCTCTTGCAGCACGACAGGCCATCTTCTTCCCCATAAATGAACAGGGTCCCACACAGGAAAAATACATCCTATTTGTATCTACCATTTTGCTAGTTTTCAAGAGGCGGGCAATGGAGGAGAACTAAACGAGAAGCAACTCAGAAGTTAAACTGAGCTACTCAAACAGCATGTGACAGTACCACAGTTCCAGCTGATCTGGCATGCCTAAGTGGGTTACAGTGGGTGAAAAGAAAAAACACACTACCTCAGAATCTAGGGTGCAAGAAGTTTGAGTCTAAAGGCTCAGCAGTAGGCAAGTTTTGGGTTGCTAGAGGACTCCCAAACAGTGCTTAGATACTAGTTATATTTCACATTACTATTAGAAATAAACTAAGCAGTTCTGACCTAGTTCCTCATTGTGACAAATTAAAATAGCAGTACACCAAATCATATCTAAGAAAAAGGTAAGTGTAATGCATCACAGATGTGGTGATGTACTCAGGTTTTTGCTTTTGTTTTGCAGACGCAAGGCACTGCAGTTGTATGGATAGCTGGTAAACTGAAGACAAAAGATGTAGAACTTCTTCTGGCATAGTTTAACTCTTCAGATACGGGGTAAGAACAGCTTTATTTCAGTCAGATCTACTGCCTGGATTTGTATAATAGAATATATGCCATTTCTGAATTTTAGCCCTATTATCAAACTGGGGCGCTAATAGTGCATGCTTTTTTGACTGTTACTGGTAAGTTATTTTATCCAGATCTATTAAAAGCCTTCAGCTAATATAAACTAACACTCACCTGTCAGAGGCAAATTACTGGACACAAAGCAGCAGCAGTAGGAATGAAGTGAAATTCCAGTCTCTGTTAGATAGCTCTGTAGCAGAGATGTTTTGCATTGCCTCTTTCAGCTTTAGACATACATGCTTTTCCTTATCAGCCTTCATCTCTATGTAGCTTCTAACACCCATTTACTTCATAAATACCTATGTCTTAAATATGTAATTTTTGCAGTTCTAATAACAGTTCATTCCATCTTTGCAGTCCCCAGTCTTAGTTCTGTGAAATCTTCCATGAGACATCAGGCAAAAAATGCCACATACAACACTGCCAGGATTCTTAATGAATAGAAAGCATGAGCTAATCAAACTGCACAATATATCTGCCACCCTATTTGCAACTGTCATCTTTTGAATGTAGAAACCCCCTCATTTCTGGTGCTGCTGCTCTCCCTTAAGTTCTGTAAGAAATTACCCTGATAAAGCCCTCCTCACACAAAAGGGATGTAAGTACCTTATAACGAAGGGTACTAGGCAGCGTTTACATAGATTCTGCTCTCTCCTCCACTACTTAGAGTAAGAGGAGTTTGATCAAAGTTCAAGTACTATACATCCACTGCCACTATAGATACTGCTATGGCAGCAGCAAAGCAGTGAGCAATCCTTACATATATATTCAGTAAACCAAAAACTTAAATGTATGTCAGCTTAGTAGTAAATATCATTACTTTGTTTCTCCTCAACAGAAAAGCTGTAGTTAATAGAAAAGTTTATGTTTATATTTGAATTTCTAAAACATTCTTAGAGATTTGTAGCACATCAAGGTCCTTCTGTGCTTACAAAACAGTAATTCTTGCCCCATTAAGCTTTCCACTCTGAGGTCAAAAAAGCTTTCTTGTCATGAGAACATACAGTGAAGATTGTCAAAGGTAGCAATATTCAAGCAGCGACATATTAGCTTGGGACAAAGCCGGAGCTAATCAAAAGTCCAGAGACCATATTAAGTCCTATAGTCATATACGCCTGTGGAATACCTTGATGATACATATAGCTGGGTGTTACGACAGTCTCAAAATAATCTTAAAAATTAATTAATTACCCTTTAAAAAATGCCATATTATCAGTTGTATCATTTGTGATACGCAAGACTAAATCTGCAGTCCTCATAGCAAGTCTAGAGAGAAGAGTAAGTCTCAAGACTACTGATGTAACTAGAAAACTATACAACCCTGTATTTTTTTGTCTAGCAGCAGCAGTCATTTCTATTTCTCCATCTTCACATTCCAAAGGGTCAGATTTCAGTACATAATACTCAGCCCATATATAGAGCAGTAAGGGGCAAACTGACCCGCCTGAGAAAGAAAAGCAGTACACTGCTACCTATGTAACTGCTGTTCAGTTTCCCACAATATCATAAAATCGTTTCAATTTCTCAAATCTTCACATTCCAAAGGGTCAGATTGCAGTACATAATACTCAGCCCATGCCATCAGTATAAGTAAGTAAGAACAACTTATTCAGAGGATTCAATTACTGGGCATTCTGCTTCTTTCTTCTAGCGCATCTCACAACTTCATCTTTTTCCCCCATAATTAACCTGAGACAAGCATCATGGCCATGAATTATCTGAAGAAAGTTCTCCCAGGGACACATGTCCATCCTGAGGTTCTTGTTTACATCATTTGCCTATTATTTTACTCAGCCAGCTAGAAAGATTCAACCTTCTTTTTCGAGCTCATTTAAAGCGTGGCAATGACCAAAAAGAAACAAAAGCTTTCTTGAGATCAAGATCTCCGAATCTCCTTCACCTTCCCTCAGAGCTTAACTTCATAATTTACCTGCCTTCTTTCAAGCCAGTATCTTGACATATGCAATACACATGATCTTCTCATTTGACTCTGTTGCCTACCTATAACCTTTTGGCGGCAGACTTTGAACATTTGTTACCATGAAGGATTTCCTGCTCCTAATATAAATGTTTTAGTGTAACTGACAGATCTAATGTCTGCATGAATATGCCACGCTACTCCAACACCACTTTCCTTATTCCTCTCGAGACACATAGCACAAGACTACATTTGGAAGTAGCAGCTACCCCGTTCACTGAAGGAACTGTTTACTTTGTCATTCAGAACATAGTTCATACTTTCGCATCTAACAGAAAATAATGTTGGAGGACAGGTGAAAGAGCACCAAGCATCCTCATATGCAAATTCAAGCCTAACATAACCATTAACCTGCACCTAGTTTTATGATGAAAGCCTAGTTCTGATATACTCTGTTCTACACTGTAATTGGAGACTTGCACTACGCATGCATTACCACATGGAGAAAGCTTCCTCCAGAGCTGAGCCATCTCAAAGGCAGGGGCAGGAGGTTCCATATGCAATGTGCTACCTGTAAGCCACTGGTCTCTGGACTTAGCACAAAGTCAAGGGCAGTTTGTTCTTCCGGCAGAGGCTGGGAAGTTCCTAGAGAACCACCCGGATGAGTGTACTTCACCTGGACTATTTTCAGAATTCATTAGACCACTCCTTAGAACATCTGGAGGCCTGTTCCACCACATCAGAGACCTTCCTTTCTCATACAGGATGTCAGGATGGTTTACATCTGTGCAACACCAAATTCAAAAATGTTCTTGAGGACAGCACTGATGGCAGTTGCTGAAGCAACTAGGTTTCACCACTGAACTGAGAAGAATTTAATGCAGCATGCAGAAGCACAGCAGTTAATAGATTAACAGCATCAGCACAAGCTTACAGATGAACCACTGCCATTCCATCACTTCCAGTGGAAGCCAATAGTGTTGATTCAATAATTACAAATTCTTGCCTCAGTTTCTGGGAAGTTATAAACACATCAGCAAAAAGGCTCAAGTAGTTGGACTACGATGGAAACAGAGAAATATTCTTTAACAGAAGGTGAAGTTGGTCTCGGAAACCAGAGACACCAGTTCCTTCTCCCATCATGTTACACTCAGGCCGGCTAGAGACCACTGAGAGTGTCTACACATGTAGGTATGGGACCTTCAAAATATTTTATACTTACTGAAGCACTCCAGAATGGGCTATACCATAGGCACAACTACCTCTTGCTTCTTCCTAATATTCTATAGTTCAGGGAATTCAGGAAACGCACCATACACACTGCAGTTACACATGTTAAGAAGAGAATATACCCTACCTATTGATGTGTGCACATACAAGTGACTACCTATACTATACAGCTTAGTTAAAAACTGTCTTAAGTGCTTGGACACAGCAATCAATATGAATTATGTATGGATCACATAAATTACACACTTAAAACAATTTAAATATCGTGAAGTCACCACCACTTCTGAGTTCAATTACTTGTTTTCAGAGTACTTCAAAATAGACAGTATTGAGAAGAGCTACACACTTCCTCAGCCCTTTTACCTTTTTAAGCTATTTAATTCCAAACAGACCCTGCAGAAAGAATAGGACCCCAAAATCCCGTGAACATCTCGTAATTCTTAGTTACTACATTTTCTCATTTGAATGTTGGCTGATGAATATGCACAGTCCCCCTGCTGCGCATACTGATCAAAAGCAAAACCCTTCTAAATAAAAAGCACGTGTCAGAACAACAGCTTAGCAGTGACTACAGAACAACCACTCTCTTTAACAAGTACAGCACTAACAAGTCTTTCTGGAAAGATAAAGCAGGAAAAGTATTCTGGAGAAGTCTGGCAAAAACAAGGTCACTTGAGTTTCAGCAGACACTCAGTAGGTTTATCTTAGCAATCTTGTGCCGCTGTCTGATACAAATACCAGCAGAAGACAGTCCACATCTTTCCTGATGATCTGGATGATGGGGTCGAGTACACCCTCAGTAGATTTGCAGACAAAACCAAGTTGGGTGGGAGTATTGATCTGCTGGAGGATAGGAAGGCTCTGCAGAGGGATCTGGACAAGCTGGATCCATGGGCTGTGGCAAACTGTATGACGTTCAACAAGGCGCAGTGCCGGGTCCTGCACTTTGGCCACAACAACCCATGCAACGCTCCAGGCTTGGGGCAGAGTGGATGGAAAGCTGCTCACTGAAAAGCACCTGGAGGTGCAGATTGACGGAGCTGAACAGAAGCCAGCTTGTGCCCAAGCAGCCAAGAAGGAGATACAGGCCAGGATGCTGTTCAGCAATACTGTGGCTCTCAGGATTACGGACAAGACCTGTACTTGGCACTGGTGAGACTCCACCTCAAGTCCTCTTTTCAGTTCTGGGACCCTCACTACAAGAAAGACATTGAGGTGCTTGAATGGGTCCAGAGAAGGTCCACAGAACTGATGAAGGGTGTGAGGCACAAGTCTGGTGAGGAACAGCTGAGGAAACTGAGGGTGTTTAGTCTGGTGAAGAGAAAGCTCAGGGAGACCTTATCACTCTACAACTACCAGAAAGGAGGTTGTAGCAAGGTGGAGGTTCGTCTCTTCTCCCAAGTAACAGGTGATAAGACAAGAGGTAACAGCCTCAAGCTGTGCCAGGGGAGGTTTAGATTGGGTATTAGGAATTTCTTCTCCAAAAGGGTGATCAGGCTTTGGAACAGGCTGCCCAGGGAAGTGGTGGAATCACCATCTCTGGAAGTGTTAAAAAACTGTGTAGTTGAGGCCCTCAGTGATAAAATTTAGAGATGGTCTTGGCAGCTCCAGGGTAATGGTTAGACTTGATGATCTTGAAGTTGATTTCCAACCTAGTTGATTCTATGAATGAGATTCTTTGAACTATCCTGTTGTCTTCTCAGTGACTACCTGTGAACTCAGTGAACAGGGGGAATGCTTGATTAATTAATGTTAGTCAAGAAGATGGTTTACAATTTTACTTAAGTAGAATAATCTTGCTATAAAATCAAGTACAACACTTACACTTGAAGAAGTTTAACTGGTTAATAGGGCATGAATCATGAACTCTGCCAGGTAACAGAGACATGGGTCTGAAGAGGCAATGAGCCTCTTGCAATGAACTCTTGCTTGAGTAGAAGAATTTTACCAGAAGAGTGCTGAGAGATAAATCCACTGCCCTCATCAACTGACATTTTTATGCTTTTATGCATTTATTCCATCTTCCTCAGTTTCAAGTGACTGAGCCTCTATGCACTTCAAAGAGCACTGTGAAATGTGCAACGCTAGGAAGTCAAACCTGTACAAAGGTATTGGACTTTAGTCCATCTCACAAATGCATTAAAATACCTTTTGATAAAGATGACGCAAATTCCATTACATGCAAGTAAAATTTGATTAAACAGGTTGGGTAGCACAGCCATTTAGAAGAACTCTCCACCTATGTTCAAACCTTTGTAAGCCTACCTGAGCAGCATAAAGTGTTACTAAAAGATAGCAAAGGGTGTGTACACCCCCCCTCATCTGCCATAAAACCTTCAAAACACACCTCCAAAGCTTTCTCTTCAAGTTCAGGATTCCCATACAAGTAATAATAAAGTTAGCAGGTAAAAGACATCCTACATCTCCTCAGAACAAACTCACACTACATCGAATCTAGGTCACATCCCAGGCTTAAATTCTGCCCCCCTCACAAGCTGTTAAAACCAACAATAATTGCAATAGTACATGAATAACCTTTGAATAGTACAGGAATTAGCATTAGGTAAGCCAACCCAGTTTACCTCTATTGCACCCTTTAATTAGAAGGCAAACTACACTGAAAGGTGAATTCCACTCACCACGACTACTCACACCTCCACTCAACTGGTATTACCTATCAGGAATGGAGGCAACTGGGACAAAAATCTCTCCCTTTTCAATTTTGATTATTTTTATTATTCAGTTCTGAGATTATTAACTGGATAGCGGATGGATGCGACCATTCATTAGCAGAAGGAAGGACAACATACTAGAGGACTGTGCTGAAATGCAGGCAACAGGGTGAAAGAGTTTCAAGTCATTTGCTCCTAGTATCTCCATCACTTTTAAGGGCTATGTAGCTAGATAATTCAACTTGTTTGCAAGGGACAAATAGCTCCACTGGAAAGGACAAAAGTTTTGCTCCTTACAAGAGTCACTTCTGTAGGCCAACACACTGCTTTCCTGTATTTGGAATTTCTAATTGGATTGCAATTCATATGGTGAAATGAATGGTTTTGTTTCCAAACCTGCTTGCTCAATAACAGATCAGAAAGTGGTAAGAGGACAGCTGCCAACCTTAAAGCTAATACATAAAATATTTTTGGTCAAGCTGATCTGGAAGTAATTCTGAACTGAAGTAAAAAAGCAACTTAGAAACCGATTAGATTTCATCACCTATGAAGAACAAAGAAAAGGACAACCAGAGTTACCAGTTCCACCTGTGATATTGTGGGTTTTTCCCCCCTTCAAATTTCAAACAACTTCCCAGTTTGCAACGATGAGTGGCACTGAAATTTAATGTAGAAAATGCAAGAGGAAGCAATAAGGGCAATGCCATTATACATATGTAGGTTTTGTTTGTTTATTATTTCTGTATGCAATGTAATGTTTAGGCACGTTGCTCGGGATGCCTTCTAAAATAAATCATTGGCCATTGTTTAGAGTATCCTTTTGGCTTTAAATACTGGTCAGGAAAACAAATGATGTAAAAAATAAATGAATATAACTATTACAGAAACAAAAAAAATGATTTGCATCTAAAAGTGCAGGAGGCGAAGTACTTTAACCCTTTCACCAGACAAGGTGGCAATACACACTATATTGCTTCTGTTTGTTTGAGAAGGCTGTTGGAATTTTATACTGACATAGAAAATTATAAATTACACAGAATTAGTTTCCATAATCACTATATATATATACACAAACCAGCTGAGAAAAAACTGGTTTAGAACATACAAATGAAAGCCTCACACAGATCAGTACAGTGAAAGTAACAATTAACATGCTCTGCTGCCAAAATTTGTATTAAAAACACTATATACTTTCAAAATGCATGTACTGTAATTGCATTAGCAGCACAGGCATTTCATTTATTTGACTTGTCTAAAAGGTTTATAGCGTTTTAAATACGCAGATTGTTCTGAAATGTTCCATTGGATAATGCTTGGTATTAAACTAAATCTTGGTGAATGGGTTAAAAGGCAGGTGAATCACAAACACAACAAGCCATGTGCATTTCAAATATTCTAGTGTTTCACCTGTAAGGTATTGTTTCAAGCAAACAAGACTTAACAGAACATATGGCTTTACAGTAACATCAATTTGTCAACTAAGTTGTAGCAATAAATACTTAAAATCTCTACCAATAGACTTACATTTTTGATCTGTTCTGAACAATACAGAAAACAATTACCGATTAAAAAACCTCTTGTAAAATGTTGAACACCAAAAAATTCTTATGTAAATCACTTTTGTAAGCTAGACCAACCAAAATAACATTTATAGGGCATTTCAGTTTCAGAAGAAACATGAATTAATTTTTTTCTTTTCTTTTTACAAGGTGAAAAATGTATGAAAACTGCTAAATACTTTGGTCACACTAATCATCAAATAGTAATGTCTCAAATACATTAGATTTGTGTATTCACTTTTTTTATAAAACTATTCTTACAGCCATTTTAACTATAGTAACACTACTGTCATCATTACGTGGGTAGCAGGATCTTATTTCACAGGCCACCCATTATTTAGAACAATACAATATAAACATACGCAAAAATTATTGGTATTTCTCAATGTGCAATATTTTTACACTTATGAATTTCTGTACAATGTCTTAAAATCTAGAATATAAATGTTGCTGGTCCTGATCCCTTGCGAAATTAGTGCAGCAGTGACTGGCTTCAACAGGGTCTAGATGAAATCCTCAAAGAAACACTCAAACACCTGGATATCAGTTCATTTTCTTCAGCCAAGGTAGCAGACATCACACATCATACAGGGCCATTAACAGATGCCTCTCCTAAATGGGTGTGCTGATCAGTCCTAAGAGGCCAAAAAAAAGATGTAAGTATACAAAAGAAAGACTCAAAACAAATTTGGGTTAGGCGCAAAAAATTCTCCCCACAAAACAAGCACCCCAGATCATGTGTAGCATGACCCTTGAGCTGGAGCATTATCTTATTATTAGCTTAGGCTTCCTCTCATCCCATTTATTTTCTGAAGTCCCCATCGCCTAATTAAGCATAGCGCTTTAATTAACTAAGCACACCTCTGCAGAGTGTTTGGTCTTTATTAACTGAGCTACTAAGTGATCTCCAGACATGTGATACCTCCCCAAGAGAGGCACTGATAAAAAGCACATTTATGATAGTTCTCCAAATCTTATTCCAAAGTAAAATGTAATACCAGGAGTATTTAAGGTTGCATTTCAACATAAGCAGCTAAGACAACAGGAAAAACAACAGTGTCTTCAGAAAACCCAAAATCCTGCTTTAGTTCCTAATCTAATCTACAAACTGCTATTTCACAAGTACTTTGAATGTCAATCCATTAGCAAGAAAAGTTCAGAAGTATTGAGGAAAATAAGGAGCAAACCTGCAGAAGTGAAAACAACAACAGGATATACATTTCTAGATAAGTCAAACATGGGCTCAATTGCTCCAGACTAACACAAAGATTAAATCAGTAGTGCATGAAAATACTAATTGTAAGCAAGAAAGGCAAAAAAATTTCAACTTCCATTCAGTACAGTCTGCTGAATACATCTGAAGAGTCCCTTATAAAATATAAACCCATTTGGAACTACATATGAGAAAAGTTACCTGTAACTCCTGTTCTCTGATGGTGCACATCACAGAGAAGCCACTCGTGGGTCCGTGCTCTACATGCACATGACCAGCAGGAGTCCCCTAGCTAAGTCTTTGGCTGCTAAGCTCTAAAAGCACTTTTTAAGAAAAATATGTACACATTAGACAAATGACAGAACTAAGACAAAAGTAAACACTTTTTAGAGAAACCAGGAAGGTAAGAAGTAATTGCTGCATGGACAGGAAGTCTGATGGTCCACACAGCAGTAAGTCACTTGTTAACTGGGAAGAAGTTCATGACAGTCCTTCTCCTTGCACAGATTGCTGGCCACCAGCCAAAGACCTACCTAGGTGACTCCTCCCACTAGTCATATAAGCATGGAGCCCCAAAAGCACAATTATAGTTATCTTGGTATTTATACTGCGCTTATATGTGTTTCTGCTGTGACAGCCACCTTTAGAGAAAGCCCTGAAATCCACTGCAGCCAGTGGGACTCGAGGGCAGGAATCCATCGAGATTCCATGCGACTCCAGAGTAACGCAGCCAACTGCCGGCTCCGAGAGACCCCTGTTGGTTCACACAAGCATCTTCACTCAGAAGGCAATCGGCTGGTACCCAATGGCTTCTTCCCTACAACTTGACGCTTACCAGCATTAAAACCACTGTCTTGATAAAAACAGTACCTCCAGATAACAAAGAGGCTGTGAGAGACAGTTTAGGGGTTTCCCACTTTAACCAAGAATATATGGTTGTTTTGGGTTTTTTTCTTATTAGAATCCACTTCTTGATTAAATTCATGGGATTTAAGCAGAGCGGGAAGTTCCGTCTTACAGGAGAAGGTAGCAGAGTTTTAGCATAACAGCCAGTACCACTGAGGTAAGACATACTAGCCCATAAACAAGCCTAAAATCCAGAACCTAAATTTGTCAAACATTCTTGCATCTTTCTTAGTTTGCGCACAGTATAACCAGAACATGTAGCTCTTCTGTGTTGTATGCAGAGCTGTACTCAGTATCTTCGCTTACGAATTTTACCCTCACTAGAAATCCAGGCACAGTGCCCATAAAGTCTTCAAAATTATTACTGTCACAGGATTTGTGAGAGAAATACTACATTTTTCTAATAGTTTAAAAGCTGTTGTATTTCTTGACTTTAATAGATTTTAAAAAACATCTAATTAAATACACATTTAGAAAATGTGTATGTATATTCTGAATTCTCATTTTCAGAAACATACCCATTTATGGGCAAAAGTTACTTCTATAATTGCTTCTAATTAAGTAGAATCCTCTCTCCCTTCCGAACATGCTCCTATTCAGAGCATCCTCACCTCCTCAAAAAGAAGGCAGCATACCCAGCTCTGACCCCTCAAGCCCTGCCCTGCAGGAAGAGAAGCAGACCCTACAGATTATTCAAGAGTTTGGTAAATATACACTTAGATTTTCCTACACAGGGTTTTGTTTGAGACAGCACAGTTCCTCTGGGCACCCTTGAACCACATCTCAAGCAGGAAAATGCAGCATACCCCCCTTTGTCTTACCACCAAAAAGCAAGCCTATGGGATTGTGCCCGATGTTCAATAAGCAGTTGGTAGTGCTAGGAAACCAGTGAACTCTTGCCTAGATATTAATTTTAAAGAACTTAGGAATACCTAAATTCCAGAGCAAGGTCTTCATTGATTACTGCCTTCAATGGTCAAAGTCTTCTCACCTACTTTAAAGTCTTGATTGTTTCAGGCTTTTACAATAAAAATGAATCCTGCTCTGACTAAACTCTAGAAAGTAGCTCAGGTATGAGACATCTGCATTAAGCATTTAGAATAATTGGTGATTAACATGTTTCCCTATGTGCATTTGGTTTCAATGAAGCCAGTTTTAAGTTGGGAAGCAAAAAACAACCCAAAAATTCATACTGAATTACTATTCTCAAAGACTGCACTAGCAGTCAGATGCAAAAAAAAAAAAAACAAAAAAAACAACCACCAAAACCAAACCCAACAAACCACAAACCCTTCTTTCCTCCAGTAAGCGTGCTGAGCAATCCAGGCTGCTTCCGTATTTCAGAAAAGTTTTATTTGAAACAAATTATTTATGTATTTCGAAAAATCTTCACATCTACAAGTATTCAGATTAACCTCTGATGAAGACCAGGATACAAACAACAACTGATTCACAATCAAGAAAGCACAGCTTAAGGCATCATTTCCTTTCCATACAGCTGAACTAGTTAGTGGACATCCCCAAACTGTTCTATGGTATAAATCACAGAATAAAAAAAAAAAAAAAAAGGTAGACCTAACTTACACAAATTTTCAGGACAAAGTTAATCTTATTCCCCTAATATTTTCTTTTAGATCACCATTTTCACAACCGTATCTGTTCACTATTCTAACTTAACAACATATCAAAAAAACAGAACAGGGATATTTACAACACCCTGCAAGACAAACAGTACAAGGCAAATACATTTCTGACAACTCAAGAGACTTAGAATCAATAGTAAATATAAATTATGAGAATTTTATAAACAGATGCAAGCACATGTTTATATCAAGCCAATAACAAACAGGAATTCATTAATCCCTTTACATCAATCCTATTAGAAAAAGTTGCAAACTGATATTTATAGTATTGAAGGCATCCTTGAATGCAGTTACCTCTGTTCTGGACTGCTGTTAGTAGGCTGCAGAGCTGAAGAAGCCTCTTCTGTAACCTCTGCATTCTCTTCTACTACATATTTACAAGAAGCTTCCTGCGAGGTAGACAATTTTCCTTCCTCACTTAGAAATAAAGAAAGAAGTTATTTAAGTTTACTTGTAGGGAAATTTCAGGCAACAGGAGAAAACTGGGAGACACATCTGTATTTCACATGCAAATGGATTTGAAGTTATGATTGCAACATGAAGATCAAGCACATGGCTCTAGACTTTACAAACACCTACTAATGCACCGGTGTTTATGTCCATTAAAACTTGGCTGGGTAAAAGGTCAGGAAATACAGTGATTACAAATAAAAATAAGAAATAAGGAATGTGTGTGATGCCTGAAGTGGTAACAATCACAATCATGGTCCTTTACTATACATACCGATAGGATTTCAACACTCTGAAGCCAGAAGTATGCAAAAATGGAAGAAAGTATAAAAGAAATCAAGATTCCCTCAGAAACTGGCATTAATAAAGTCTGTCCATGGAACACATCAGCAGAATCATTAACTCATCACCATCTTCATTAATCTCCCTAATAATTCCACAGTGAGATACGATGTATAGGTTATGAGGTACTAAAACTGCAGCCCAGACTATTTAATGAACATCCCCAGGGAGACAAAACCAAACAATTCCGTGAAAAAGCAGTACACTCACACTACAGAGAGCATTACCATGTAACTAGGTAGCCTCAAAAGTAATTAGCAAACACTTGCATTTTGCCTCCAATTCAAAGCTTTTCTGCCCCTATCCTATACACTCCCGCCTCAGCCACACCATCATGAGTGCATTATGATAAAAATTTGACCATATACATGCAAGAGATAGTTGTAAGGTATCTCTGAAGTAGAAACAAACATCAACCTTATACTTCTGTGGCAACAAACCTATTTATGCAAGAAATTATGAACATCTTAAGGCTACTGATTTTTCATCCTATTCTTACATTCCTCTTTTCAACTGATCCTTTAAATTTCTATGAATCCTTTTTCAGCTCGTGCCTCCTTGTATCTGCAGAACCTGCAAGAAACAGCGCTTTGCACTGCAAACTCTCATGAAGATCCAGTTTTCCCCATCTGAGCTCTCCATCTCATTTGCCTTAATGCTCTTTGCACTTATTTGAAATAAATCACTTGCCACCATCACCATCAGAAATGATCTCCTAATTCTTACTTTTTAAAAAGGCATAGTCTCTACTAACATTCTTCACTTTTAAGTCAATTCAGAAACCATATTCTTGGACATTGCAGCTTTGCACAAAAAAAAAAACAAAACAAACAAACCCCAGTGTGCTTATGATGCTTCTCCTCCCCTCAACATTGACTTCAACACCATCTTCTATTGGCAGAAACCTATATAAAACTTAGGTCTGGAAGCATCCACTTTGCCAGGTACACAGGCCAGAGTAGGACCTCCTCTTGCTACTGTCCTGGGTTCAGCAGTAGCAGTCATGTTTTTTCCTTTGTGTTAGCTGGTGCAGTGCTGTGTTTTGACTTCCAGCCTGAGAACAGTGTTGGTGAAGCCGATGTTTTCGGTTGTCGCTAAGTGATGTTTACCCTGACCAAGGACTCTGTGAGGCTCATGCTCTGCCAGGGAGGAGGGGAAGCTGTGAGGAAGCAGAGACGGGGCGCCTGACCCGGGCTAGCCGGGGAGGTATTCCATACCACAGCACGTCATGCCCGGGGTGGGGGGTAACTGGGAGTTACCCGGAAGGACACGGGCTTCCGGGTGGAACTCGCTTTCTTGGCCGGTGGTATCGTATTCTCTTCCCTTGTTATTTTCCCTTATCGGCTTCACCAACACTGTTCTCAAGCTAGAAGTCAAAACACAGCACTGCACCAGCTAACACAAAGGAAAAAACATGACTGCTACTGCTGAACCCAGGACAGCTACTCATCTCTTAATCTAGAATCCTGCCATTATTTTATAAATTTATTCCAAAAGAAACACTACTTTTCTATCCCATTTTTGTTTTGGAGTATTTGGAAGTTGAAAAAAAAAAACACCTGAGCATTGACTCAGTAAGAGACCGCATACCTCTATCACAGTAGAACAGCCTCTGTATTTAATACCTCACCTTTCAGCTTCCTACATTCCCTTAATCTCCCCTTACCAACCAAATCAAGATCCCAGAGTCCAGTGAAAATTGCTACATGTTTTCAAGATGTGACTGGACAGTGCTAGATAATTTCACCTGGGATCCCTTTTCCAGAAAAGGTTGGAGCAGATTATCTTTTGAGATCCCTTCTGACCTGGGCAATTCTATGATACTGCCTCCCTTTGCATCTCTGTATCCTTTCAACTACAAGAATCGATGTGCTAACACCACAGCTCAAGCAGGAACTGGCACTACATGCTGACTCGTCACATTAATTTCTGCACCAGTATCAGAAGTCACAGAACTTCAAAGTGTGGGTGAACTGGTGGTGTTATTTATTGCTTTGATGATCAAAAGGATGGAAGTGAGAGTAACTGAAAGCCATCCAAAACAAACAGTACTTATCTAATAACACTAAGTAAAATGAATTTCAAATAAGAGCAATGAAAGAACAAACACTGGGAATTTTTTTCTATTGAAATGGACTTTTTTTTTTAAACAAGTTTCAAGATACATAATTTCTTTTCAATCTTTAAAGCTAGAATAGGGACAGATACTAGGAAATTATCCTAAAATAATGAGAAGATGGTTGCATGTCAAAATGCTAGTTGTATGTTCCAATTTGTCAAGACTGGGAAAGGGCAGGAATACACCAGCTGAAATTAACACAGGCATAATTATTTTTGCAGGTCAGACTTAGCAGCTTCTGTTTCCCTACATAAAGATTTAATGCTACATAAAAAGCACTTGATCATTAGATTTAAAGTCATAAAATCTGAGTAGGCAAGATGGAAAGGTGCTTTATTCCCTTGAAAGGATCAAATGTTGATATATACAATATGGAATATAACCATATTGTAAGTCAGCTATTTCTGAATCAAGCACTTTGTATCAGAAGATACCAAAATTAAGGAGTTTGTTCTTCTGGTTATTCTAGAATTCTATGTACCATCAGATCCAGAACAGATGTGTTTGCTTTTCTGTTCATGATGTGTAGGCTTTTTAGAAGTAACACTGGCTCCTGTTTTAAACAGGAAACGACTTTAACTAGTCCAGAACAGATTTAACACCATCATCCATACCACCAACACTGATCATCCCAAATGTCTGACAAGTTACTCAAGAGCAGTGCCTGGCTCGCCTTCATCTTCTGTCCTCCATCCTCCTATATGAAAGGGATGGAGTTCCAATCCAAATCAAACAATTCTGTGCAAAATTCAAAAAGCTTAGCTTTGACATGCTATCAACTGCACATTAAAAGAGTAACTGTAAATAAAAAAAAAGAACACAATAATGTGCATTAGGGTCAAAAGTTAGCCAGTCTTCCTCTAATAAACTTCCACTAAAAGCTTGATAAGGAAAGCCTTATGTTATAATAACTACCTGAAAGGAAAATTTCAAAACAAGTACTTTGGAAAAAGGTTTCTAGTTAATGCCCCAGGAATTACCACTTGTAATGAGATTTTTTTTGATGATGTGTAGTGTTCCATCAACAGCGCTTATTTGACAAGGGTGGGAAGACAATAAATTGGTACGCTCACCTTTTGAAAACAGCCGTTTCAGTTTTAGCATCTACAGTAAGGCTCAGTGTCTCCTTCATGCTGCCGTTCATTACTGTTTCAGTTACCTTGTCTGCATTTTCTATATCGTCCTCTCCATCTGAGCTGGCCTCCATGGCAACACTTCCTGGGGCTAGATACACAGAAATAACTTAGTCCATGGCTCATTATCTAATGAGGAAGCATAGAAGTCAATACAACCAGAACGAAATTTTTGCAGTTTTGTACACTTGAATTCTTCCTTACAGAGAAAGGTACCTTTCTGCAAACCCTACTACACACATATATGTATATAGAGAGAAAAAGCTTAAACACCTACAGATGCTTAAGTCAGGTTCCATAACTATTTTTGTTTTTTTGCTACTGCAACAGGTTTGCCTGAACAAGGCTTTAGCACAATTACAGAGATGTATTATTTTTCTGTGCAGTTAAATTTGTTACACAAGCCCATACAGTACAAATGTGACAGGAAGTTTTCAAGTCTTTGGGAAGTCAGACGAGCCTTTGGGAAGTCCAGTCTCCCTGGACTTCTCATCTGCACTTCTCATTCTGTCTGTTATACATGTATAATACATACAAAAAGCTGAAAGCCAAACACGCTAATTAACCAGTTCATAGATGAAGAAAGAATTATTGCATCCATAATGAAGGTAACTTGGAAAGAGATGAGCAGGAAGAGAAAATTTTAACACACAGAGACTACTGGCCTACTGCCACATAGTAGGAGACTAAAGGCTACCTACCAGTCTTCTCAGGCATCAGCTCAGCTAATAAAGCACTGATACAGGTCAGGATATTTTAACAGAAAACACTCAGCTTCTTTTGTAATGCTTTTCTGTTCTTGAGGTGCAGGCTTTTTAGAGGTAAAAGTAACACTGCCCCCTGTTTAAAACAGGGGACTATTCTAACTAACGGTGATCACCCTAAATGTCTGACAAGTTACATTGGCTCTGGTTTTAAATAGGAAATTCTTTGACAAGTCATTTTCATTACCTGTCAGAACAGAAGCAGAGCCAAATGAGAGGTCTCTGAAAACCCAAATTTTAAAGTTCAAGCTCTTTTTGGGTATAAGTCTTAAAAATTAATCTGTTTGCATTTTAGGATACTTACTCTCTAGGTGTGTTGCAAGAGCAGTTACATTTGCACCCAAGGGATCAACTGGGTCTGTGTTTGTTTCCATTTCCACAGGAGAATTACTTCTTAAGGAATCTTTTGAGCTTCAAATACAAAGTAAAAAAAAATTTAGAAACACTTCTAAACAGCAGAATTAAGTGTTCTTAAAACAGTATTTTTAGTTCTGTATCAAACCTATGAGGCCTACAACTTTACTGAAACTGAATGACAGCAAGTTTGTTTGCGGGAGTCATGGGAAGGCATGCTGAACAGAAGTTTAGTAACGCAAAATCCACCAGACCTGAACTGAGTGTGTGTGTTTGCCGATAGGTTTATTTTACCCTTTATTTAGTTTGATTACAAGTAGTAACAGACATGTCCCTGATAAATAAGACCTGGCTCCTTGTAGTGTTTCCAACGTGACATGAAACTGACTTTCTAAATGCACTCTTTACAACTTGAAAGACGGTTCTCTGCTGAGACTGCCAACACAGCTCTCACTGTCCACTACAGAAGTGATTTTTGTAGCATAGCTATGAGTTTTTCATTCTGAAGAAACGCAAAAGACAAGATTTGGCCACTTGAAACACTTTCCACCATTTACAGAATGTCTTTCTAGTCACTAATGTGGCAGCTCCAAGACTTTATTTTCTAAACCCTTAATGCTGTCATCAACATATCTGCCTCAAGCAATAAACTAGTTTACACTGGGGTGTGTGTGTGGGTTGAATAATTCATTTATCTCTAAGCTCTTTAATGCCTAAACAGACAATTAAGAGCCAGATAACAGGAAGAGTCTGATTGGAGAAGGAATCAGTTCTTGACAGCTAGTATTTGGCGACATAAAATCTACACCTATATGATTAAGTATTACACAGCAGACTTTGGTTATGTTTTATGTGGAGTTCAAGCCAAGAATGGAAAGTGTACCATAGGAACTCTCAAACAGTGCAGAACTGCCTAACCTAAGTACCACAGCTATATAACCATGCAAATTTAAAATAAAAGCAAATACTGACAAAAACCCAAACCTATTTGTGTTATCCATGAAACAGAACCATCACAGATACTTTATGACCCTTACATCCAAGATTCAACCCTTCACCGGGCTCAGTTTAAACTAAAAAATTAATTAAAAAAGAAAAAAAAAAATCCAAATTCTGGTCAGAGATCAATATTAAAAGACCCAAACGTTCTTTAAAAACCCTCTAAAACAATGACATATTAGCATTTGCCCATCCTACAGACAGGGGGCCCTTTGGACACTACACACCTTGTATTCCACCAGAACACTATCAACACAGGCTTGGGTGGAGACAGACACCCCAAGGAAACCAAGCTTGCCCTGAATCACTAATATTCTTACCTCAAAGAGGATGCAAACTCAGAAAAGGAAACCCAACCAGTTTCTTTTGCTGGCATAGGTTCTTCAGTACTCCACACATCAGACCCAACAGAATCCAGACTGGCACCATGTGCTGTCTCCATGGGTACATCAAAGTTAGCTGACCAGTTTGGTGCTGAAAAAACAAGTTCATTACGAAGAAATTTAAATAAAGGACATGAGCGCATATACGCCCAACTCGTTGATTCTCTAAATGTACATTCCAAAAAGAGCAGCAAAATTCATAACTAGACTTTAAAGCACATGCAGAAGAATCCTCTTTATACTGTTAAAGATGAATGATTCCCCAAAAGGGAAATTCTGCTAATAAAGCAGAATTTTAAAAATAGTAACTTGGAGTGTTCTGCTAAAACCTGATATAGCTTCTCTGAAGAACAAATCTAATAAACTGTATTAGATCAGAAGTATAATCCCACTTCAGTCTTTAACCTAATAACATTTGTTACAATTTTTCAAAACAGGTATCTTTAACAATAATTAAAAAAAAACCAAACCAAAATCTTAAGAGCGTTTTTGGTTTCCTATGCACATTTTCCTAAACACAGAAAATTATCATGTCAACTTAGACACAGACAGTCTCTAAAATAATTTCTCATGCACTAACACCACTACTAAGTTTCAGAAAAGTTTAAGGCTTTTTACAACCTAAAATACTTATTTGGATTTTAAATTTTGGAGTAACTTAACAGCATCTAATTTAGGATAGGTCAATTCAAAAATACTTCACCTACCCAAGGGAAACATTTTTGTTAACACTTACATACAAAAAACCAGGCTGTAAAGGAAGCTCTGACTAGCAATTAGAAATTCCAGCCCAGACAGATATGGGAGGAGACCCACATGGATCAAAACTTGTTTGACACACAGATGCCAACGACACCAATCTGACAAAAGAAAAGAAAACCCTTAACTTTTCCTTCTATTTTAATGCAATTCCTTACAGTCTAGATAAACACAGGGTTTTTACCTACTGATGTTGCCAGTTTAACTAATGCCAATTTAGTCCTCTGCAAATTTAACATGGAAACTTTAAAACCAGTTACCTCAGTTAAGTTTCCACATAAGAGTCTACTGACTCACATCTTTCATTCACATATGAAACCAAACCAATGCAAATTCACTTGGCTTTATGTAGGAAGTCTTTCAGAGAGCATTCTTAGATGAAAAGTTGGTCTGAAAGGCTTCCAGTAAAAATAACAAGGTTTTAGGTTTGACAATTAACCTATTAGTTTTTGCAGGCATTCAAGATGTATTAATGCTTACATTTCATCCTTCCCTTTCCAATTCTTCCTTCTCCCCCCTCCCCTTTAAAGAGCAGAAACATGCATTTTAGAGAGACTAACTTGACTCAAGACATGTAAGGAATTCAAACTTGACAACAGTTGTTACCCAAAACTACCAAGTCCACCACTAACACTTTATTAAGATAGAATAAAAATGGTAAATGAGGAAGCTACTACAAAATAAGACTGCTAACACTTCTTTAACCCAAAGCAGATGGGAAAAAAACTACATACGTTCACTTAAGTCTACTTCCATTTTGTCCTCTGTATTGGTGTGTGATTCAAACAAGTCCTGTTTTGTTCCATCCTCTTCTTCAGAATCTGTACTTTCTTCACTGTCAGTGCTGCCCGAACTTAACATACAAAGACATAGTTTATATTTTGCATTTAGTATCAGACCCTAGCCACAACAAAATACTGGAGAGTTTGAGGCTAAAGAGATTACAGCAGCTATAATTTCTGATAGATTAACAGGTATAATTTGTCAGATGCTAATATTCCTCTCATTTTTCCTCTCAAAAAACCCAGGACTAAAGGATTTTCACTTGACCATGTGAAGAGGCTGTCTCATTTCCCCCCACATTTAAGACAGACTGGTTCTATTTCTGACATGGAAAAGGGAACAGAAAAGGAAAGTAAGGAATCAGATATGTTTACAGAAATTGTTGGTCTATTTTGTTTCTTCACACTAAACTGAAGCACTAAAACACAAAACTTTGTTCAAATTATATCTAACAAGATATAACTTGACTTACTGCAAAGTATCTAACAATAAAACTAGTATATCTATTTTAAAGTATCTCCCAATTGTATTCCAGTCCATCCTTTCTAACTACATACATGCTTTAAACACTATGGGCATCCCTCTCTTTCCTGGTGAGCACAACACAAAAAGCGTGGTAATGTGACAAGGTAAGGATGTTCCTGAAACGCATCACAGTAAGTAGCCACAATACCATCAGACAAAACAATTGATTTTGTACAGAAGGTATTTGCAACATCCATTTCAAAGGTTGCAAGGGAAGAAGAGATCAGGTTTGTGACTAAAGCCATAAGAAGGTCAGAAAAAACAAGACTACTGTGGGACAAAGTTCAGTAGATACTATGGGAGGCTGCAGAGCCCTGAGAGTTTTGGGGACCAGATGCTCTTTCCCCTCAATGCAGTTTCCTATGTGGGTTTGTCTACAATCACTCCAGTACTTAGAGATGTCTGCAAGCTCTGCGGAGATACAGAGCTGGACTGTCTTGCCCAAGACAAGAATCATACAATGGTTTGGGCTGCAAGGGACCTTAAAGCCTATTTAGTTCTAGCCCCCTGCCATGAGCAGGGATACCTTCCACTAGACTAGGTTGCTTCAAGCCGTGTCAAACCAGCTTTGAACACTGCCAGGGATGGGGCAGCCACAGCTCCTCTGGGCAACCTGTGCTAGGTCCTCACCACCCTCACATGGAAGAGCTTCTTCCTAGTATCTAATCTAAATCTCCCCTTTGTGGGTTTGAAGCCATTCACCCTTGTCCTGTCACTACACACCCTTGTAAAAAGTCTTTCTCCAGCTTTCTTGTAGGCCCCCTTCAGGTACTGGAAGACTGCTGAGCAGGAGGAATGGCTGAGCAGATCTAAAAGCAATAGGAAAAAAAACAACACCCCAACAAAATTAACAAAAGTTGAAGTACAGGAAGTGCTGGCTAGGCAGGGCAGCTGTTGTCACACCTTGCAGATAACGGCTGGAAGACTGACAGTAGTGCAATCACTCTACTTATTTCTCCACAGAATGGAAATAAGCTAGTTATGCTGGACAGCCTGTGCTAAAAGTCAGCTTGAACCAAAAGACCTGCTCAGTACTGATGTCTCACTGTAGTGTTTACATGAGAGAAACACTTCTCACCTGGAACGCCTCTGAGACTCTGGTGTAAATGCAATATGTTTTTCTTCCCAAATGTCTTCTTCATCAGAGCCACCATCATCAAACTGCTGTATCCGCTCCTTACAGCATGCCTCAAACAAGGCTATATTGCCCTAAAGATGTCAAAAGTAAAAAAATCCGTATTTATGATTAATCATTCTACTTATAAAAAGTGTAAACACTTTTTACACTATAGGCCTGTTCTGAAAAGAATCTTAAACCAGTAGGGGTGGTAAAAAAAACAAACAAAAAAACCCAAAACCAAGCCCAAAACTTTTCTCTAAAAGCAGCAGGAAGACAGAATGTCTTAATGACTTAAAGCTTGTCAAGAAAATATTCAGTGGTGCTTGTTTTACTCAAATACTAACAAGCTGAGTGGACTATCAAAGAATAGCTAGGAGTTTCCATCATGTTTAAGAGCAGCATACAAGAATGACACTGAAATGCTTTTCAGATAACCAGACCACCAAGTACTCCAGCTTTATTTTCCATAGGGGGGTTCACTGCAGCTCAACTGACAAGTAGTATCTAGAGTGGAAGTCTCTGTCCTTACTTTCCTGTCACCGCAATCCCACGGGAAGACTGAAATAGCTTCTATCTGTAAGTGTGCAACAGGCACAAATCAAATCCAAGACTGTTCTTGAGCCTGGCCATACAAATTCGAAGCAATTTTCTTGAATAATGATCTCAAAGAATCAAAACAGTGTCTTCCAATTAGAAAGTCTCAAGACACAGGAACAAGGTAGGGTAGTTATGTTCCAAATGTTACACAAAAGAGTACATATAACAACCACTGCCAAAACTTGAAGGCTGCACTGAAGTTTAAAAGAGTAGTTCTTCTGAGAGTACAGTAACACATACTTACACTTTCATTCGTATTGAGGGTAAAGTTGATGTCTGAGACCCGATCAAAAGAAACACTATAAAAAATAGCAGATGTATACAATAAAACAAGATGTTGCATTATGACATGAAGACATTTAATTTCTCTTATGTTTCTCATTTTCCAATAATATAAAAACATAAGATTAAAGACAAAAAAATTAACACAGTCAAATTCCACATTGAGGAGGCCTGGCATTCAAGTGTGAAATACATTAAACAAAAATACAAGACAATGTTGTCTCTACTCTATATAGTTAGCTGTGAAAATTCAACAAGCTTAAACAAGTGTAACTGAAATAATATATGCAAATCTCAAATACTATACTGTTACGCACTGAGGAAAAAAGAAGTAGATCTCAAGAGTGCCTATTCTGACTACGTTCTACCACAATACAGCTCAAAACCCTGCAAAGATCTATGTTACAGTTCTTGTACCTTCTAGCTCTATACAAGGACCTTCTCAACAGGAAGAGAGAAAGTGGGAAATGTAATATCAACTTCTCTTTCCTAAAGAAAAAAAAAAGATTTTTTTTAACCAGTCACTGGAGTCTTTTATCCAAACCAAACACTAAATACTAGGTTTTACACATCCTCATGTATTAAGTTATCAAGCAGTTTCACTGCAGTGATTACAAAAATGTCTTTGACTAAGACCTGCATTAGGCAAAATAATTTTCTAGGGGAAGCAAGGCTATAAAGTACCAAGGGCACGATCTTAAAGAAATTCCAACTCCTACCCTTGTCAAAACGCAGCTGCTTCTATCAAATTTAAAGAGTATCTTCAGTTGCTTCCTCTCCCATCATATCTTAATCTCAGAAGATTATGTGGTATAAAAAAGCAGCAATGCTTCTTAGATGGCACATGCAAGCTTTAGTGAACCATCGCTTACTAAGCATGTTTCACAGAAGAGCACTGAGACACTTTACTGTATTTTACCCTCCTAGAAACTTATCTTGAAGTGATGCTTTTTACCCTTATCTGTATGTTCTTGTATCCCAAGACATGAATTCTTACAAGAATCAGTATCAACTCTATTTTCAGGAAGAACTCCCATTCTTTCCTGTTCCCCTTATGGCATCAGTTTATTTAGATCTTTGGGGGGGGGGGGGGGGGGGGGGGGGGGGCTGTTGGTGTTGGGTTGGTTTTTGTTTTGGTGGTGGTTTGCTTTTCTTTCTACCTGACTGGTATTCTTCTCATTTCTTCATCACTTACTCTATTTGTAGAAATAAGTCTCAACTGTCTTGACCTTGAAAACAACAAGATTTACATGCCCTTCCTTAACTCTCCCCTACAGAAAAATACACTCACAGACGTGTTTTTCCTGTCATCTTTTCCAGGAAAACTTAAAAGTAGAGCTATTTATCTTTTCTGGTACACAGATTCAGCAGAGGGGGAATGGGAAGAATAAAATCACTTCTGAGGCACAGAAAAAGTGAAAATGCCCCCAACAATGCAATGCCATTGGACTGGCAGACCTTACAAAAGATACATTATATTTTAGCTATTTATTCACAAGTGCTGTGTTTTCATGTAGGCAAACCCAGGACATTATAATGGAAGATAAGCTGTTGCTTTCCTCTGTAAACTGTTCAGGGAGGCTTCTATCAATGCACACAGATGATACAAAAAGACAGGACCGATTGACAACTGCCTCACATCAGTAAAGGCTTGTATTTATCCTCAGCAAAAATACAGCCAAAAACACAGTAAGAATGGAAACTCCCAAGACTACAGTCAAAGCCAGTATAACATCATACTCACTTGCCGATGTCATCTTGATCAGCAAACTTCTCATCGTTGAAGCCAAACTGGTCAATAAAATTGGACGTCATTTGTTGCATCTGATAATCAGAAAAGGCCTGGCAACCCCAGGACCAACGACAGTGATATAATGATTCTAACAATACTCTAAATCCTACTTGCCCATTTTGCTCCAAAGAAATAAAAGTCTCTAATCATAACAAAGGACAGGAAAAGGATTTGTCTTAACCTCTGAATTTTAACTGGTAACGCTGACTACAAACCTAGTTACATCTACTGCCTTGAAAGGTAATAGCAGCTCTCAGTAAGAAAGTTAAATCTCTAGTCCTCCTGTTAATCTCTAGACCTCCGGTTACTCAGTGCGTTCCCAAATGCACCTCAAAACCAGTGAAACACAATACACTAGATAAAAGATAAAGCTATCTTTGTTCAAGATAACATGGATTTATAAATGGTAAGGATTAGAAAATTACATCATATATAGATACTACACCACAGCTGCATATTTATCATGTAGTTATCACTACATCAGTCTCAGTCACACACACCAGCAGCGTCTATTCAGTATGTAGAAGAAGGAAACTACTGAACATTTTACATCTCAATTCAGTGTCACTGACTCAACTGTGCCTTTTTGTATTTAATAAGGATGCCAGTGTCACCTGCCAGCTGATGGGTATATACCCATTAAGGTACACATGGGCATGTTCTCCTATCCATAACAGTAGTTTTTGTCCCTTATTAACGATAGCCTTGGGAAAATGATCACACATTCTCTAAGGACTTCTAGTAGCGTTATTTCCATCGGTAAAGTCAGCCAGTGCTAAGATATCCCAAGAAATACAATTGCCAACTGTCCTGGTTTCTTGCCCAGGGAACTAAACACACAGAGTATATCGCCAAAACCCCTGAAGAAGGTGGTAAACCTCAAAAGTCTGGATTAAAGCACTATGAAAACTGGACAAATAAGGAGATCTATAGAAGGATGATCAGGGCTGGAAGTAGGTCCGAATAGCCTTCATAAGTGGTAGGGCTAAGCCAGGCCAAAGCAAGAACTCTTTTCCATTTTGATCCTAAATTTTAAAAATCTGATAGTTCTGATCAGACCTTAATACTCACATAGTCAGCTTATCAGCATTACACAGGTAGACAATCAATTACCAGCTGTCTTACCTATAATTCCTCTGCTTTCCACTAGTTTGAACTCTCCTTTCCTGTAGAGTATATTCAGTATTACAGATATTAAAAAGTGCATGTGACTGAAAGACATTAGTGAGAATTACCTCCATGGGAAGAAAAAACCCATGTAAGTTAAACAGACTTGTTCTGTTTTACAAAAGGTGCAACACCATTCACCAGGATAAACAAAATTAAAGACATGAATTTTATTACATCAGTTAGTTACAAAACTAATGTGAAAGCTTATCACTATGTCAAAATTGTATACAGTAAGTACATGAAACGCAGTTCTGAACTGTTAGCATATCTCAGATCCTAGGCAGTACCATTCTAATCTCAAATCTCACTCTCATGTCTTTTCAGTATGCTTAAGAGACAAGAAGTGATATTGAGCTAGTGGAGAACAGAGGAGCAATGCTTTCCTGGAGTAGACATTTCCAGAGCCACAGCAAGACAGCACATTAAATGCCGCTGGCACAAGAAACCTTACAACCCAGAACAATGTGACGGAACATTTTCAACAGTGTCAGTTTTGAAGTGTTATTTAGAAAAGGTGTCTCTGAATAAAAGGGAGAGGAAAAAAAAAAAAAAGAAACCTTCCTTTCTGGAACAGAGGGTATTCATTAGAAAACAACAGTATCAAACTAGATTTGGAAAAGCCATAGCCAATGTAATTCTGCACAGGTAGAAGTTAAATTTGACAAAAATAAATCAAAGATGAACAAGTTCCTCAGTATTTTCTCCCCTTATCCAATTCCTAATGGGACCACTTGAATTTTAAAAATCTAGCTCCTATTTCCTCCTGTAGCTACTGGTCTAGAATAACGTATCCTAGCTGAAGCCAGAGGCACCTTCATGAATGAATTTGTACAGCTGGAGAATGCTCTAAGTAATTTCAATGCATTTCCCATCAGTGACTTATCTTGGCTAGTATCATGCTTTCTTCAGAAGGTCACTTTAGAAAGTATATTTCACAAGCAGAGTGGGGCGGGATGGGGTGGGGGGAAGACTAAAAAAAGTGGTGACAAATTTGAAAGAGAGAGTACTTCATCTGCATTTCTCCAGATTAGCTACCTGGATTTGAGGATTTTGCTTTCTCACTGGAGCTGCTACAGATACCACCCAACTTACCAAGTTTGTAGTCAGGTGCACCTTACATGCACAAATAAAAATAAAAATAAAATCACTGAATCAGATAAAAATGCATCAGATTCTTCAAACTTCAGCCACCACCCACAACTCGCGTTTTGACAAGCATCTACTAACTATCAAACCATAAGATGCATAAAGTTCCAAAGCCAGTCTTAGACTAGGTATTTACTACACAGCTCTTAGTGAGCGCTGAAAGATTTTGATTAATAATGTGTTTGGTATAAGATCTATTGGCAGTCATGTGCCATGTGGTTCCCACTTTCACCGACTGTGAAACAGTTGGAAGAGATGCGTATTACAAGTAGGACAGCACTACTACAGAAATGCTGTCATTCTTCATCAAACTGGCACCCAGGTTCTCCATAATCACTCACTGCAAAAATACTCTAACATAATATTAAACCTGGTGTAGTTATCCATTAGTCAGCTTGAAAGCATTAAAACTTCAAGATGGACACAAGTCCGGTTGATGGGAAAATTCCCTAGGCATTCTTCTCTTTTTCATAGTGCTAAATGATAAATAACTATCCTTGAAACACTCATAAATAAGTTGACAAAAGCATATACTGCGTTAAAAAATAAGTGATCAAGTTCACTGGAAATTTAGTTCCAGTGATATGGCTATGTATGCTCACCAGGTACCAAAAGTTAAAAACACTCAAGCTTCTACATACAACCTATAGCAAAAGCAAACTGAAAGCCACATTTGCTTTCACAGCAATTCAAACTTGCCAGAAAACACAATCAGAAGTCACCATTTCAAACTTCTATAGCTAGTAAGAACTAAAGTTACTATAGAAATCACGTTTAACTTGGCCAGACAACTGGCATGTAAAATGCACAGTGAGCAGAGATAGGCATCCACAGCATGATCTAAGACTAACTGGAAGGAACACCAAGAGAGAGACATGTTAAAAACCATACCTCTCTGATCACAGTTGTGTGCATGCTAATCTAAGTTTAAAGTAAAGCCTTCTAGATTTGTATTTGCTTGTGACAGAAATACAAATTCCATTGCCTTTTAAAAAAAAAAAAACCTCTTATTTATTTTTACAAAGAGCAACTTAATGCTGTTAAAAGAATTCAACTCACCTGCTGCAAAGAAGAATCCTGTGAAAAGCCAGTTTCTTTAAAGTCAATTTCATCATCACTGGAAGAATGAATGTGGCAGGTAGTAACCTATACAAAGGAATTCAGTCATTTGCACAATATATGACAGCCATTCAAGTATATCCGTACTATCTGGCTGAATCTTCATTTTTGTACCAAAACAAGAAACAGTTATTTTTAGTTTTCCAAACTGCTACACCACATAAAAAAAGTCCCTGGAATATACAGGGTGATATGGTCCCCCCTGAGCCTTCTCTTCTCCAGACTAAACACCTCAGCTCCCTCAGGTGGTCCTCATCAGACTTGCGCTTCAGAGCTTTCACTAGCTCTGTCACCCTTCTTTGGACCTGCGCCAGCAACTCAGTATCTTTCTTGTACTGAGGGACCCAGAATGAACACACGATTTGACCTGCGGCCTCCCCAGTGCTCACAGGCAGACGATCATTTCCCTGGTCCTGCTGGCCATTGCAGCAGAACCTTTTCTTGGTTAGAAAACTGCTCTGCAGTGGTCAAACCTTCTACCAGAATGCCAATTAGCAGTGGGAAAAAAAAAAAAAACACAACAAAAAAGACACCCAAACAAAACAAACCCCCAAACCTTCCTGTACAGTCCATTACAAGGTAACTGAGATAGTTACAGAATCATAGAATCGCTAGGGTTGGAAAGGACGTTAAGATCATCTAGTTCCAACCCCCCTGCCATGGGCAGGGACACCTCACACTAAATCATATCACCCAAGGCCTCGTCCAACCTGGCCTTGAACACTGCCAGGGATGGAGCATTCACAACTTCCCTGGGCAACCCATTCCAGTGCCTCACCACCCTAACAGGAAAGAATTTCCTTCTTATATTCAATCTAAACTTCCCCTGTTTAAGTTTTAACCTGTTACCCCTTGTCCTGCCACTACAGTCTCTAAGGAAGAGTCCCTCTCCAGCATCCCTATAGCCCCTCTTCAGATACTGGAAGGCTGCTTTGAGGTCTCCACGCAGCCTTCTCTTCTCCAGGCTGAACAGCCCCAACTTTCTCAGCCTGTCTTCACACGGGAGGTGCTCCAGTCCCCTGATCATCCTCATGGCCCTTTCTCTGGACTTGTTCCAACAGTTCCACGTCCTTAGTATGTTGAGGACACCAGAACTGCACACAATACACCAGGTGAGGTCTCACAAGAGCAGAGTAGAGGGGCAGGATCACCTCCTTCAACCTGCTGGTCACGCTCCTTTTGATGCAGCCCACGATAGGGTTGGCTTTCTGGGCTGCAGGCGCACACTGAAGCCGGCTCATGTTCATTTTCTCATCAACCAACACCCCCAAGTCCTTCTCCACAGGGCTGCTCTGAATCTCTTCTCTGCCCAACCTGTAGCTGTGCCTGGGATTGCTCCAACCCAGGTGTAGGACCTTGCACTTGGTATGGTTAAACTTAATAAGGTTGGCATCAGCCAACCTCACAAGGGTGTCAAGGTCCCTCTGGATGGCATTCCTTCCCTCCAGCGTATCAACAGAACCACACAGCTTGGTGTCATCAGCAAACTTGCTGAGGGCGCACTCAATCCCACTGTCCATGTCAGTGACGAAGACGTTGAACAAGACCGGTCCCAACACCGATCCCTGAGGGACACCACTCGTTACTGGTCTCCAGCTGGACATTGAGCCATTGACCACAACTCTTTGTGTGCAGCCATCCAGCCAGTTCTTTATCCACTGAGTGGTCCATCCATCAAATTGATGTCTCTCCAATTTAAAGACAAGGATGTCATGTGGGACAGTGTCAAATGCTTTGCACAAGTCCAGGTAGATGACATCAACTGCTCTACCCCTGTCCATCAGTTCTGTAGCCCCATCATAGAAGGCCACCAAATTGGTCAGGCAGGATTTCCCCTTAGTGAAGCCATGCTGGCTGTCACCAAGCACCTTGTTGATTTTCATGCGCCTTAGCATGCCTTCCAGGAGAATCTGCTCCAAGATTTCACCAGGCACAGAGGTGAGACTGACTGGTCTGTAATTCCCTGGGTCATCCATTTTCCCCTTCTTGAAAATGGGGGTTATATTTCCCTTTTTCCAGTCATTGGGAACTTCACCTGACTGTCATGATTTCTCAAATATGATGGCCAGCGGCATTGCAACTTCATTCGCCAGCTCCTTCAGGACCCGTGGATGGATCTCATCAGGACCCATGGACTTGTGCACATTCAGGTTCTTAAGATGGTCTCGAACCAGATCCTCTCCTACAGTGGGCGCAAGGTCTTCATTCTCACAGTCCCTGCATCTGCCTTCCAAGACTTGGGTGGTGCAGTCAGAGCCTTTGCCAGTGAACACTGAGGCAAAGAAGTCATTCCGAACCTCAGCCTTCTCCAAATCCAGGGTAGCCAGCTCTCCTGAGAGCTTCCTGAGGGGGCCTACATACTCCCTAGTCTGTTTTTTATTTGCTATGTACCTGTAGAATCCCTTCCTGTTATCTTTAATACCTCTAGCTAAGTTTAATTCTAACTGAGCCTTAGCTTTCCTAACCTGGTCCCTAGCTTCCCGGACAACATCCCTGTACTCTTCCCAGGCCACCTGTCCTTGCTTCCACTTATTATAAGCCTCTTTTTTCATTTGAATTTTCCTCAGGAGCTCCTTATCCATCCAAGGAGGTCTCCTGGCCCTCCTGCTGCACTTCCTTCTGGTTGGGATGCAGCACTCCTGAGCTTGCAGCAGTTGATCCTTGAATATCAACCAACAGTCTTGGGCCCCCCTGCCCTCTAGGGCTGTATCCCATGGAACCTTCTGAAGCAGGTTCCTGAAGAGGCCAAAGTCTGCTCTTTTGAAGTTCAGGGCAGTGAGCTTGCTGCACGCTCTCCTCACTGTCCTGAGGATCTCAAATTCGAGCATCTTATGATCGCTGCAGATAGCTCTGCTACATGTTCACTTCTAAGTCTCCAGTTACTGTTGTTTTATAAAATGTGCTAAGAACTTGTTTGAAAGATAAAGCCCAAGTACTAGTCTCATGGCTATAGCAGCAGTTCATTACGCAAAGGGCCGTAGGACCACATACCTTCTTCCATTACAGTGAAAGAGCAATCTTTGTTGATCACTAAGTGGCTGAAGCATTGAAAGTATTCATGAGATCAGTTATGTTCATAGCCTTCACATGTCTAACTTATTTACATATCTTTAAAATAAACTACACAATGTAGGAGTATGCATACAGACCAGATCATCTGAGCTTAGTAAATCCAGTAAGTTGACTGAAGATCACATGTAACAGTAGACCACAGTTCTGCCACCTAGGTCAGGAACTATGTGCTTAACTATTTGTATCACCCATGACTAGATTCCGCTCAACAGCTTGCTTAGGACCGAGAAATTCTGAATCAAATAAGTCTACTCATCCGCACAACAAAAATTTTAAGGCTAATCTTCAGAAAATTAGGAAAGGTGTGCTTAAGATCTTACTCTGGAGACATTATGAATCAACAATTTAGATCAGGTATAAATACTAGTTCCTAAACATATTGTTTTAGCTCAGGATACTTTCTTCAATTTTAAGAGCTCAAACACCCAGATGTACCTGGAGAGTACGTATCTATGGAAACCTAAGAGTGTATACATGGGACAGTACCTCTGGGAAGAAATACTGCGGGGCTGCGCTTCCGGATGTACCCACACAGCAATCATAACTTAAATATGATTCAGTAAGACAACAGGCTCAACTTTCTACAAGATCTGTCTTTTAGCAACTTCTACATCATACTGCACTATACATTACTGCTTATCTTTGAGCTAAATGCTAACCCAAGGCTCATGAGAAGTGATCACACAAGCAGAAACGAAGACTAGAAGTTCAGAAATTCAAAAGACACAGTATTTTCAAGGTGGCGTTTTAGCTACAGGAATTTATTTTAATGCTCTGTGTTCCTATTCAACTGAATATTGTGGAGTTTGGAGATATGTTGTAAACGAGGTTTTACTGCTGTTACATCAAGTATGTCCAAGTAAATGATCACACATCTAAAGATCTAATTATAATGTTTTTAACTATATATCAGCTTAAAATTCTGCCTCTTCAGATGACTTGACTCTTGGCCTTGACGAAGAAGTAGCTTCTAACAAGAGGAAAATAACATTATTCTACGAGCACTATGAACTTCTTTGTATTTTTGCCATGAGGCTGTGAATGCCAGCTGTACTATCCTGGTCCTCTCCACAAGTTGCACAGTTTCAGATTAATTTCCTATTGCTTCTACTGCCACACATTGTGTCAGCATTATGTTCCAGTTGCTATATTGTGCTGAAATAGCAAATTTAACAGACTATTAGTATTACAGACCAAATATAGCACCAGCACAAATTAAAGAAGCCACATGCAAAGCACTCCAGTCCTGGAGAAGTCAGGTATACTCACTAACTCATCTGCTGACACTGGAACCAGCCTCTGCTTGTTAAAGTCTCCAAGTGCTTACTCTTGAACTATAGCTTTAACGTGAGAACACAAAACCTCTTCACACTTACACTTCAGTTTAGCTTTTTCCTAAAAGTGGAATCACTACTGCTGTGCACAGAAATGTAACACATGCACAAGAGAGGTATGCAAAGTATCTTAAGCAAGGTCAGTGACACATGCAATGGGATGCAGGTAGCATCTTCCCATTAAATTTACATAGGCTCATTTACACACTGTCGATAAAGCAATTTAATACCAGCTCCTGCAGTTTCAGTTTGCAATCTTCAAGCAGACAGAAGCTTTCAAGGTCACTCACTTGAAGCTGTACAGAAAACTTCCTTCTTGGTCTGAGATAAGTTATACAAACTGAGCTACTGCAAGATTCCCATACAAAATATTAATGATACAGTGTTGAAAAGTAAAATAAAGAACTATCAACTCAGCAACTAGATGTGCTTGTTGACAAAAGCACCATAGGTAACTAGGTTGTGCTGCTGACAAAAAGAAACTGGTCCCAAGTAAACAGCAGCAATTTTGATACCTTACCCACCCCCTTACTTACCAGGTCCACTGTATTCCTCTTGTTAGTTTCTCCTAAAGAGTTTGTGCAGAATGTCTCCCATCGCTCTCTGACCTCCTCTGGAAGCTCTAGGGTAGGAAACAGCAAGACATCCTCAATTTGATACTACTGACAATGGAGCATGACTTTAATTTTCTCTTCTGCTATACCAGAATCCTCTTAAATCCTTAAGGATTATTCCATCCAGTTAAGTCTAAATAAAGTAGGTCAGCATTTCATTGCATTTAAGCATATATTTAAGGGTCACAGACTCACCACAAAGCCACAGAAAGGTTTGAGTTGGAAATGAAAGTTGGAAATGAAAGTTGGAAACTCATCCAGTTCCAACCCCTTGCCACAGGCAGGGACACCTTCCACTAGACCATGCTGCGCCAAGTCCCATCCAACCTGGCCTTGAACACTGCCAGGGATGGGGCAGACACAGCTTCCCTCGACAACCTGTGCCAGCGCCTCACCACTCTCACAGGGAAGAACTTCTTCCTAATATCTAATCTAAATCTCCTCTCTGTCAGTTTAAAGCCATTCCCCCTTGTGCTGTCACTACATTCCTTTGTAAAAAGTCCTCCAGCTTTCTTGTAGCCCTCCTTTAGGTACTGGAAGGCTGTGCGTTTAAGGACATCTTGTTTTAAATGGAATGTGTCAAGAAAGTATTCTTCTTTTACCCAGTAGCTGCCTTTAATTTACATTTGATTCATTTCCTCAAAATTCGATAATGAAAGCCATAAAGACAAATGTAAGGCCATTAACATTACCTTTAATGAGCTGCTGAACTTGTGTACTGTTTGGCCCCTTATCTGTACTGTGCACAATGCAGTTTGCTATCCGTGTCAGATGACCCATATAGCCATAGCGTCTTCCTCCTTCAGCCCTGTGAGAGACAAAAGGAATTCAACTGCCCACATTCTGAGCAACTGCACCACTGTATTTCATTATGCAACACTCTAGCAGAGTCAAGAAGTTACCCATGACAAACACTGCAGGGGTTCTTAAACAAGAGTTGTTTTCTAAACCCGAAGGTTCCCAAAAGGCTCAGGAATTAAAGATACCAACTGGTTTGACTACACTAAGACAGTTTGGAAGACTTACTTATTAGGAAATATCTGTTCCTGAGAGTATTTTTCTAAACCCCAATGCACCAAACATTCTCTCAGAGCTTTAAGTTGATGATAAGAAAAGAAAAAATACTTAAATCCTAAATGTGCTCTAGCACTGCAGATTAACATTTCATTTAGCATACAGAGCTGGAAAGGTACTACCAACTGAATATGTTTAGATCACTGCTTTTTTAGGAAGGACATTTAAGTAACATACTAAAAGCAAAATTACAAGGCAGTCTGCATATTTTTTGATAACTGAACTGCTTTGTAGACACAGGAATTGCCAGTTTTTATGATACAGAATCATAGAATAGTTAGGGTTGGAAAGGACCTGAAGATCATCTAGTTCCAACCCCCCTGCCATGGGCAGGGCCACCTTACACTAAACTGTGTCACCCAGGGCTCTGTCCAGCCTGGCCTTGAAAACCAACAGGGATGGAGCATTCACAACTTCAGTGGGCAACACATTCCAGGGCCTCATTACCCTTACAGAAAAGAACTTCCTCTTATATACAGTCTAAATCTCCCGTTTAAGTTAACCTGTTACCTCTTGTCCTGTCACTACAGTCCCTAATGAAGAGTCTGTGACAAGCATCCTTGTAGGCCCCCTTCAGATACTGGAAGGCTGCTAATGAGGTCTCCACACAGCCCTCTCTTCTCCTAGGCTGAACAGCCCCAACTTTCTCAGTGTGTCTTCATACAGGAGGTGCTCCAGTCCCCTGATCATCCTCATGGCCCTCCTCTGAACTTGTTCCTTTTTATGCTGAGGACACCAGAACTGCACACAATACTCCAGGTGAGGTCTCACAAGAGCAGAGTAGAGGGGCAGGATCACCTCCTTCAACCTGCTGGTCACACTCCTTTTGATGCGGCCCAGGATATGGTTGGCTTTCTGGGCTGCAAGCACACACTGAAGCCGGCTCATGTTCATTTTCTCATCAACCAACACCCCCAAGTCCTTCTCCGCAGGGCTGCTCAGAATCTCTTCTCTGCCCAACCTTTAGCTGTGCCTGGGATTGCTCTGACCCAGGTGCAGGACCTTGCACTTGGCATGGTTAAACCTCATGAGGTTGGCATCAGCCCACCTCACAAGCGTGTTGAGGTCCCTCTGGATGGCATTCCTTCCCTCCAGCATATCAACCGAACTGCACAACTTGGTGTCATCGGCAAACTTGCTGAGGGCGCACTCAATCCCACTGTCCAAGTCACCGACAAAGATGGTGAACAAGACTGGATTTCATCAGGTCCCATGGACTTGTGCATGTTCAGGTTCTTAAGAGGGTCTCGAACCAGATCGTCTCCTATGGTGGGCCTAGGGTCTTCATTCTCTCAGTCCCTGCATCTGCCTTCCAAGACTTGGGTGGTACAGTCAGAGAATTTGCCAGTGAAGACTGAGGCAAAGAAGTCATTGAGAACCTCAGCCTTCTTCAAATGAGGGGTAGCCAGTTCTCCTGATAGCTTCCAGAGAGGGCCCACATTGTCCCTTGTCTGTCTTTTATTCGCTATGTACCTATAGAATCCCTTCCTGTTATCTTTCACATCCCTAGCCAAGTTTAATTCTAACTGGGTTTTAGCTTTCCTAACCTGATCCCTAGCTTCCCAGACAACGTCTCCCTGTATTCTTCCCAGGCTGATGATGATCAGGTGGAACCATCCTATATCTGATCAAAAGAGCTGAAGTGAGAGCTCTGAATTAGACTGAATTTCTAGCCCTGAGCTATAAACTGACTAGACATTTGCTGCATCAGCTTTTTAAGGTTTCGTGCTTCTAAAATTAAAAAAAAAAAAAAAATTAAAAAAAGCAAAGAAATTAAGACAGACCCACTCAGTTAGCTAGACAAATCTCCCATAAACTTGAGTGAGATCTTTATAAAGCGACAGCAGTTCAGGAAAGAGATTATGACATTTCTTGATTTTCCACCTTTATAATCTAGCACAAGGTAACTGAAATCATGTTATGTCAGTGCAAGATGTCATAAGTAAAGCGTTCTTTACAGGAACAAAGTGAGAGATTTCTGTCTTATTTCTACAACTGCTTAGGTAACAAGTACATTCAAAACAAGCAACATGTGATGTTGGCAAAAGGTTATAATTTCTAATACATGGTATGCCATAAAGAATGTTTGAACTGACTTGTAATTGCCTATGCAAAAAATCTGGAATACAATTGTATCTATCAGCAAATGCTTATTAATACCAGTGAAATAAATAGCTTTTTACTATGTCACACTTTCACCAGCAGAAAGCAGTCACCCTCAAGCTTCTAGAGCTGCGCAACATAAAGTGACAGAATAAAAACGCATAAAAGAAATAATTTCCTGGAGCAGCTAAGCTAAAACATACCTTCAGATTATCTTACAGGCTTACATTTTATATTTGGAGTCGTACCTTTGCAAAATTGGATAAAGGAATGAATTACTTACAGCAGTCTGCTCCCTTCTAACAAATACATTTTTTTCTGGATAAAAAACACAACCTGAGGTTGACAACAACATCGTCCACAAATACTTGAAAACGTGAAATTAAATGTTTCATTCATCCATATAGAAAGCACATGATCAAGAACATTCTTACTCAAAGAGTAATTTTAGGTTGCCATCTATAGAAATACCTTTCCATAATTCTCTCCTATGGGAGTCTAGTTGGACTCTGACCTCATGAGAACACAATAAAAAAACAAAAAGACATTTGGGAAAGCATGTTTTCTACAGTTCAGTTGTTACATTCCCTTTCTTCTGTACCATCCTCTTCATACATACTTGAACATACTTATTTTCAAGTCCGTTACAATAGTAGTACTTACTACATGATTCACATCAAACAGGAAGACGAATATTTTGAAGAGCAGACCTGTCTCAAATAACACACCAGCAAACCAGCAACACCATCCCAGCCAGCTAATTTCAGTATTTTGACAAGTTAAAGCTAACATTTAATGTTTAGTATTTCCTAAGCCTTCAAGAGAGCTATTCTACCACCTCAGGTGAAGACAGAGGTTTTTTTTTTTCCTCCTGCTACAGTTTCAGACAATGCTAGCTACTTGAAACTTCCATTCTTTCAGAAACATGTACGTTTAGAAAACAATCATTGCTAAGGACTTGGCTTTTACTACTCAGAGCCTGTTGCTCCCCAGTATATAATATGCTTTGATGTCTTTATAAATAATTTTCAACTGCTTACTGGAGAAAAGTATTTAGAGAGCAGACTTTGGCCTCTTCAGGAACCTGCTTAGTAAGGTTCCATGGGATACAGCCCTAGAGGGCAGGGGGGGCCAAGAGTCTCGGTTGATATTCAAGGATCACCTGCTACAAGCTCAGGAGTGTTGCATCCCAACCAGAAGGACGTGCAGCAGGAGGGCCAGGAGACCTCCTTGGATGGATAAGGAGCTCCTGAGAAAACTTCGAAAGGAAAAGAGGGTTATAAAAGTCGGAAGGAAGGACAGGCAGCCTGGGAAGAGTACAGGGATGTTGTCCGGGAAGCTAGGGACCAGGTTAGGAAAGCCAAGGCCCAGTTAGAATTAAACTTGGCTAGGGATGTGAAAGACAACAAAGGGATTCTACAGGTACATTACTAATAAAAGACAGACTAGGGACAATGTGGGCCCCCTCAGGAAGCTCTCAGGAGAACTGGCTACACAGGATTTGGAGAAGGCTGAGGTTTGGAATGACTTCTTTGCCTCAGTCTTCACTGGCAAATGCTCTGACCACACCACCCAAGTCTTGGGAGGCAGATGCAGGGACTGTGAGAAAGAAGACCTTGCACCCACTGTAGGACAGGATCTGGTTCCAGACCATCTTAAGAACCTGAATGTGCACAAGTCCATGGGACCTGATGAAATCCATCCGTGGGTCCTGAAGGAGCTGGTGAAGGTGAATGAAGTTGCTAAGCCGCTGTCCATCATATTTGAAAAATCATGGCAGTCAGGTGAAGTTCCCAAAGACTGGAAAAAGGGAAATATAACCCCCATTTTCAAGAAGGGGAAAATGGATGACCCAGGGAATTACAGACCAGTCAGTCTCACCTCTGTGCCTGGCAAAATCTTGGAGCAGATTCTCCTGGAAGGCATGCTAAGGCACATGAAAATCAACAAGGTGCTTGTTTATTCAACACTGTCCCACATGACATCCTTGTCTCTAAATTGGAGAGACATCAATTTCATGGATGGACCACTCAATGGATAAAGAACTGGCTGGATGGCCGCACACAGGGAATTGTGGTCAATGGCTCAATGTCCAGCTGGAGACCAGTAACAAGTGGTGTCCCTCAGGGATCGGTGTTGGGACCGGTCTTGTTCAACATCTTTGTCGCTGACATGGACAGTGGGATTGAGTGCGCCCTCAGCAAGTTTGCCAATGACACCAAGCTCTGTGGTTCGGCTGATTCACTGGAGGGAAGGAATGCCATCCAGAGGGATCTCAACACACTTGTGAGGTGGGCTGATGCCAACCTTATTAAGCTTAACCATGCCAAGTGCAAGGTCCTACAGCTGGGTCGGAGCAATCCCAGGCACAGCTACAGGCTGGGCAGAGAAAAGATTCAGGGCAGCCCTGCGGAGAAGGACTTGGGGATGTTGGTTGATGAGAAAAAAAATCAACACGAGCCGCCTTCAGCATGCGCTTGCACCCCAAGAAGCCAACTGTATCCTGGGCTGCATAAAAGGAGTGTGACCACCAGGTCAAAGGAGGTGATCCTGACTGGACCACCTCCTATATAAAGACACACTGAAAGTTGGGGCTGTTCAGCCTAGGAGAAGAGAGGGCTGCGTGGAGACCTCATAGCAGCCTTCCAGTATCTGAAGGGGACCTACAAGGATGCTGGTCACAGACTCTTCATTAGGGACTGTAGTGACAGGACAAGAGGTAACACGTTAATACTTAAACGGGAGATTTAGACTGTATATAAGAGGAAGTTCTTTTCTGTAAGGGTAGTGAGGCACTCGAATGTGTTGTCCACTGAAGTTGTGAATGCTCCATCCCTGGTGGTTTTCAAGGCCAGGCTGGACAGAGCCCTGGGTGACACGGTTTAGTGTGAGGTGGCCCTGCCCATGGCAGGGGGGCTGGAACTAAATGATCTTAAGGTCCTTTCCAACCCTAACTGTTCTATGATTCTATGATATCCTGTCCTCTTAAAACTTATGGTGTGTTCTTGTAATTTAATATACATGAGTAGACTTTAAAATTTTTAAATATCATAGTAATATATATGAGAAGAATGACAAACTAGCATATTCTCCAATGGTCATGGGAAAAAGCATTACTATGCTACTAAAATATAAAGAAAGATTTAATTTAAATATTAACATTTGAGTGTCTTAAGAACACTGCCAGTGCAGCTATGAATTAGTCATATATCCACTTCACAATTCAAGTCTTATGTAGACAATTGCAGGTAATAAGAAAACTAGTTACTCACTGTTTCTTCTCATTCATCTCCCATGCTTCAAGTATTCGTTCTATTAATTGGCACTTAAGGAAGAGCTATCAAAAAAATTAAGAGCAAAGAATGCTTAGCAGCAGTAAAGTGGAACGCTATAATGCATTTTAGGGTTGTTTTTAACGCATACTGAAGCCTTGCAAGACAACTAATTTCAGGTTCAGGATAAATAATTTCGAAGCATTTAAAAAGTTCATAAGCAGCAGTCATATCCCAACCAGAAATCTGAAAGCTAAGCCTATATTATTTCAACTTCTCTTTGCAGCTGCTGAGTTGTGGTAGCATAAAGCTACTGAAATAGCAATTTTTATTCTTAAAGTAAGAGGAACTCCTCCTTCAAGGAGGATAAGTATTTGCAGGTCTGCACTCATGCCTACTTCAGAGCAGCAAGTCTACTCTATGGCACTTTCACGTTTAACACCCTAAATGGACATAATAAAGAAAAACAGAAATATTCCTACTCATTCCATAAATAAAGTAAAATCAGGATATGTTTTATGTAAGAGTAACTGCTACCACAGCTGGGAAACAGAAAAATTCAAGAGATTCCCCAAAACCCAGAACTTACATGTTTCAGCAAGAGATTGTCCCCAGTGGAATCCTGATCTGTAATTGTGCCATTTTCTGTGCTTTCAAGAGGATTTGCAAGAATCAATGCAATACAAATTTCTACTTGTGTATGCAAAAAGTTATTCCATGTGTACTTAAAGAACATGTCCTGAAAAAACAAATTCAACAAGGTTTACACAAACCAAGGTCTTTTCATTAAACACAACCAATAGTCTCACTCCAGCAAGTCATCTGAATTATTACACTGGAACAAATTCTGTAAGTTTTACAGTAACTATTATTGTGCAAGAAAACCCTGGTAACCTACAAAAAAGTTAATTATTGTGCTTGCTATAATCTGAACACAAGGACTAGAATACTGGATCAGAACAAAAACTCAACTCTGACTGAATTTTAAGCTGTGGTAACCAATAATGCATGTTCAGAGAATGAAGGAAGGAATGACCTTCCCTACTTACACTGCTTCTAGCTTCAGCCCAGAGTCACTGCAAGTCAAAAGTATAATTAATGCCCTGAGCAGGCCTTGAGACTCCTCTTTGAGTTCACTTAACCTTCTAGCATCTACAATACTGTTTATAATGTGCTCCCCACTTCAGTGACATCCCTTACAAAATTATCTCTACCTGTTTTGAACCCATCATCTACTAATTTTATTCTAGTATTATAGAAGGCTACCTCAGATAATCTAGATGCAGTTTAAGATTATTAAATGCATTACACAAGACAGAAAAATATGAAGTTGAGATAAAACAGTGTTCATTTATTTGTATTCCTGGTTCTCCACATTTTCCCTCTTAAAGATTTTTTCAAGCTCTACGTCCAGTTTTAGACTGACTGCAAAACTCAAATGACTGCTGTCACTAGTAAAATGAATTTAATTAATGCAATTGGAACAGTATTAAAAAATTTAAGTCTCATTCAAAACACAGCTAAAGATTCCAAATCCCTCTAAGTTTCCTTCAGTCCTCCTAAACTAAAGACATCCTTCCATACGCTACTAGAGCTAAACAATTACTTTTCCTAACAGTCAAGTGTGCAGAGTATAGCATTCGTGTTGCAGCAAATAGCACAAAGCACCAAGAAGTTTATATGGCTATAATTATTTTTTTCTCTTTATATAAAACCTGCAATAGAAAAGCATGTTCAAACCTCACTGAATTTGGTTTACAAAATAACCTCCTTATAAGAACATGTAGGTGTTCACAAGATGTACATTCCCATAGACAACACACCCAGGAAATAGGTTATGGCAAACTTAGCACCTGGTTGCAAACCCAAGTTATGCAGAGGAATTCCAATGAAGACATTACAAATGCAGTTGTATTAATCAGTTGGAGCAAAAAGTGATTTTAGACTAAAACCATTTGGGGCAAAGAAAATACTTACACTGTAAGTTTGCAACTGCCTGCTTGGAAGTTTACATTTTGTATTCAGAAGCTATACTATAACTTCCAGTATTTTTTGCTGTTTTGTTTTTTTTTTTTATCCAATTACCAACATTTGCATTTTTTGGTCAACCTAAATACAAAGAGTATGTCCTGCTACAGCTGAAGTACAAAGCAGGTAATACTTACAGTACACACTCCACATTTGCAAAATCAGCGAGCTAACTGACTGAAAGTTTGTTGTGCAACATACTGGTTTTAGAGGACTGAAGGCATATAAGCCACCAAGAATATCTGTCCCTTTATGGGACAATGCTGAGATACCATTTGATGTGATGGGTATTATTGAGAGGAAAAAAGGTTTTGAGGGAACAACTTAGGAAAAGAATGAAAACAAGCAGGGGAAGCCTTGAACATGGCTGAAAACTTGAGAACATAAAGGTGAAAAAATAAGCCTGTTAAGAAAACCACTTAATGTATTTATGAGGGTGTAGAGGATAAGAACAATTCAAGTGGTCACAGGAAAATTCATCTGTCAGAAGTCAACATTTAACAGTAAAATCCACTATTAAGGGGTCTTAAATGGTGCAGCAAAAGCCTCAGCAGTCTGAAAAGTTAGGCTACTAAATTATCATCTGCACTGACAGAAAAAAATATTAGATCTTAGTAACAATCCATAAAAATAAAGGCAGCATAAAGTTCTTACCAGTATTACTCCTATGCTGTTAAGCTCTATAAGTTCCTGATTCACACTGCTTGTATTCGTCTGTAGAAGGCTAGATATTAATCTAATCACATTTAAACGCGTGTTTCCCACAGGTGGATCCAACACACCCCAGGTTGTCTTCATGACACTTTTCTGAAAAAGAAAATTGTGCATACATAAAATCCATTAAAATACCAGCTCATCATTACTGTGCACAATGACAGAGTAGTGCTTAAAATATATATACAATTAGTCCTTAAATCTTGCCTTCACCCTGCAAACCCCTAATTTTTTATTCTGAACACTACAGCTTATTTTAACTAAAATTAGCCACACAAAACAGTAAAAACAGATATGAGATCAACGACGTAAAAATTTATTGTTAACTACAGAGAGGATCTCCAAGTAGATGCATTCTACCCAGTCCTGAAAGGAATTAGGAGATACTTCCTAGGAAATGCTTCTTGTTAGTCAATCCAGCTATAGTTTACATTGCTGCAATATACACAAAAGACCTAGGTGAACAGTCTATGAATATTGTAATGAAATATTGTAAGAACTCAACAAACCAAGCCTAACTTAAAAGCAACTTCAGTAAGCAACGAGTTCCTCTGGTGTCTTATTCTCACGTTAGCCAGTTAAACAAGAACTGTGTCACATAACCAGCCAGTAAGAAAAACTGGTATTAGCTACTCTAAGACCTAAAAATCTTGTAGAAAGTATGCAATAGGCAGGAAAATCCGTAATGAAAATATCCTCCCATCTTAATGTACAAACACATTTTGACATGACCACTATCACTGGATGTTATTTGCACCAGAAAAAGAAACTGACATCCTGCTAGTTTGTTTATGCCATTCCTTACATATGACAAAAATCTAAGGATGCTCAAAATGCGTATTTTCTGATGGTTGGACATACTTAGCTCATCTAGTGAAGTCACTGAATATGTTGCTCAAGTATCTAATGTGACCTTGCTTTTATTTTAATATAGACCTGTACCTTGCCAGGTTGTTGCAATAAAGACAACACAGTTTCTTTATTACCTCTTCAGCATTTTGAAATTTTGAGGTCTCATCTTCTTTACGCTAAAAGAATACCACTTTGACCCCCCACCACGTGGTACTTCATGCACCTCTGGTCTTTATTTTCACTTTGGCACACAAGTCCTTTTCCTTTATGGACTATGGAACGCAGTTTAGGGTGCTGTGCTTTAGCTGAAATTCTGCAGTGACAACAGATCATAGGTAAACCCCCTATTTATACATCCTGTATTTATCTTTTGCAACATCATGACATAGGTAAGTTGCCTGACTCAGTTAAAAAGCCTAAAGAATTTAACATGCTTAGAGAGCGCAGGGTATGTGCTGCGGAGCTAGTCTACTTGAGTTCTGGGTGAGTCTAGGGGAGTTGTGCAGGCCTCATCTGGGCCAATGTTCCCAACAACTACTGCATCCATAGTCTGTATTTCTTATTCAGATCAGATTTCCAAGCAGAAAGCAGGACCCACCTTAAGCATATATGGCAAATCTCTTTTCATTGCTTTCTGAAAAAAGTAATTGCTTCAAGGCTATTCTGCCAATTAAACAAAGTTTAAACTGGAAAAGTGTATCAATTCACAGAACACATTGGCTCAGGGACAAGAATAATGAACAGCAAAGCTTTCAAGAGGCTAGAAAGAAGCCTGGGCACTTGCCCAAAGTTTGTCAAACTGGGTTTGCTTTGTTATTATCGCCTGCGTGAAACACAGTCACACTGTGACAGTCTTGTCTCAATTTGGTAACACAAGGTTTCACTTACTTTTGGAGGCTCAAGTAGGAGTTCATGGAAGGATGAAAGTCGTGCTTTTATGGCTTCTAAAACACTTTTATTGACTGAATATTTTGAATTGCTCATGCCAGGAGGACAGATCTCTATATGGCCTTCAAATCTAAAACACACACAATTAAAATTTGATAATTAATATCAAAACTAGTTGTAAATCATCCTTAAAGTATTATTTTGAGTGTGTCATGGTTCTGAAGGCATGTGAAAATAATGAAGCAAGTAAAAACATAAGATTACAAACACAAAGTGTCAAGTAACGGCTGAGCAAGATTTTTCCAAACACTAGCCCTAGTATTTTTAGGTTTATTGTGCTTGAAATCTCCAATACAGTTTTGAGATTATACATTACAGTTGTTCTATTTCCTCTTTTGAGGCACATGAAGAGTTTCACTCATCTACTCATCTATCATATATCTATCTATGATATAGTGGTACATAAACAACTTGAATGTACCACAGAGGACAGCAGTTCAGCAGTTTCTCAACATTAGGTTGTTAATAAAATTAGAAATAACCTTTTTAAAAGTCAATACCCCCTCACTTTACTGTACCTATTTTCATCAAATTCTTTCTGGATACAAGGAAGAGAGTAATGTAATTAGCCTGAGCTGTCAAGTGGTAGCTTCTAGAAAAAACAGCAGAAAGACCAATCATTTGGTGAAAGTGTAATAACACCAACTGCAATCACTTGGTTTGTACTTTTACATCTTCAGTTACAACAGGCCACAAAAATGATTCAGTCATAAGTATGTGAAGACACTATTGCTGAACAGTAGCTACATTATGCAGGCATAATTTAAGTGAAAAAAGAACACTTACGTCTGTCGTCTTGTCTCAAGTAAGGTCAATAGTATTTGGATTGCACTGACTATTGCAGATTCATTTTTTTCTTTATGAAAAATATTAGATAGCAGCTGCTCTATGATTTCTTGCCTGAAAAGAAAAAGTATTGGCATCAGATAAAACACTACCTCCAAATACAGCTGTTAACAGAAGTAGCTACCAGGTGTGTAAGTAAAATTAATAAAGGAATACAGTGAAAACCAGTAGCTATTATCACTCCCGTCCTCACTGTCCTGATCACATTTTCCTATTCCTTCCATTGATCTAGGTTGAGATCCTTCTATAGGATCTACTGAGAAACAGCACTACAAAAAGGAACTTTTCAGTCAGACCAAAAACCTGATTCAGCTTCCCACAACAGCCTCACAAACCTAAACCTGTAACCAGCAAAAGGAAGAATGGAATACAGAAGAATCTTCTCTGGCAGAAACACACACTTGGATTAAATTACAACAAGTAACAGATCAAAGCAAAAGTCTCCCATGAATACTCTGCAAAGTATCAAGCTGACCTCGGCATGTTTGATCCCACTAACTCTGGCAAAGTAGGAAATATTTTAATGAGACACATCTCACCCCAAGAAGTCCTCCAGGTGGGCTCTGCTTACCTGCTGAATTATTTTGCACTACACAGATGACAGTCAAGAAAACTCAACTGAAGAGTGGAGCTTGCCATTTCTAATGGTTTTCAAGGTCGGAAATTAAAAACCTTTTTATGAACTGAAAATAAATCAAGAATGGAGCAAGCCAACTTACTTCTCTAGACTTGCAAGCAGTGGATCCGGTTCTGAACTGTTCTGTACTTGCAACATCTGGTCTCTGCTTAAACGAATAATTTCACAGAGTGACTGTGATGCATTTGAATGCCTCTGGAACAGAAAAACAAAGCTTCACTGTAAGAGTAACAACAAGCTGGACTGTAACTCTTCCAACTAAAAAAGGCAGAAGTTTCACCTCAGACAAATCTCTCCTACACAATAAACGTTCAGACAATAGCTTTATGCTGTAACAAAACCTTAACAAGACAAAACGAGCCTGAGGCATGAGGCAAGAATAATTTGCATATTAAGGTGGCAAAACATAGAATACGTATACAGCTTTGACATGGACTGAAGTGGGACCAAAAAGGGGGAAGGGGGATGGAGTTTACTGAAAAGGGCAGAAAACAGTAAACCCCAAAAATTCTAGTACTATGATGTACAACAACTTGCTGAACAGATAGACCCAGAAGAGCTTCAGACCAATACTTACATCTTCATCTTGAGATGGATGTACAATTTCCACAAGCCTCTGGATGATTCGCTCCTCATTTAGCCACTGTAAAAGTGTTTGTGAATGTAAGAATTTTATCCACGTGAATTAATTAACAAAATTAAAAGTAGTCATTTGACAATTGCGATAAGTCATACTGTTAATATTACTAAACAAGGACTAACAATACTTCAGAAGTAAAAGGTAAAAGTCAGTCTTTCTGAGCAATTACAAAAAATAAAGCCTTATTTTTAAATAAACGGAAAAAAAATAAAAAGATGTTCACTAAAGTCCAAAACTTTTTAAAAACTGCATCTGGCAGTTGTAAGTTAGATATTAAAACCCAGGGGAACAGATCAGCCTCTCAGTTTCTAAATCATCTCCACCAGCACAGTGGCTGTGCTGAAAAAGTACTAGCAGTGCCATGAAAAAACAACCAAACAAAAGCAGCCCAAAACCCCACAAAACCAAACCAAAACCCACACACTGAACTTCAGCACACTAAAGAACTAAGTAAACCCAGCAGAATATAAACCGTTTTACAGTTCACAAATGTCAGATGAAAATCTTTTGAGACACTTTACTTACATTTAACACTTCTTGCCGAGGCTGCGGAGGTTCTATGCAAGTCAGTAGCCTGAGCAGCAAGTCCATGATAGCAGAGGTCCCTATGTGCTTAATAATGAGGTCTACAAAATCATGTTTCTTCTTTAAAAAATCCACAATCTAGAAATTAAAAAGAATTACGCTTGCATTTACTTATCTATATTTCACATGGTAAATTACACCAACCAGATTTAGCTTCTCTCTCCTAGCAAATGGAGAGAATAAATAAGAAGTTCTTAGGACACTTTTGCTACTTAAAGCTTGCAGTACAAGGCAAGATAAACTAATATACATGTATAAAGTAGCAAAAGTGGCACACGACAGATCCATGCAATGTGCAGTGTGTCTTGGACCTCCTCTCAAGCCTAACTGGCTGACCATAAGCTACTTATAATCCACTGCGCTGTCAGGTCTCCTTTTTGGTACAAATTACTCTCATTCCTACTTACTGAGCAAAGCTTGACACAGCAAGACCTTAACATAATGCAAAGAAATACAGAGCTTGCTAAATCACAGAACAGTCACAAACTTAATTTGCTGAGGTCTGACAGCCCACCATTGCAGCTGCTTGCAGTACTGGGCCACATGAACAGTACAACAACATTTATGAACAAGGACTCCAAACATCTCTTAACTTGTTCTACACCAACTCTTCACACCAAATTGGATGCATTCCTACCAATTCAAATCATTTACCTTCACCTTTAACAATTTATACAAGTATCATCATATAAAATACTGAGCTAAGCTAAGCCAAATGGTAAGCACTTGTCCTGGGTTCAGCAGTAGCAGTCATGTTTTTCCTTACGTTGATCGCACACATAGCTCAGGCAAGTATGATGTATTCGATTTGCATTTATCGAAACACATTTTTTTAATCCTGTGCATACCGTTAAAAATGGTTAGCATCTTCAGCTAGCATAGAAGTTGAATGCCCTCTTTTGACTTTGCTGCTATCCTCAACAGGTAGTCATTAAGCAGCACTGCCAAATGCAACTTTATTAGAGAACTCGTTAAACTGGAAAGGTTGCAAATATTTACCTCTTCTGGTTTTCTGCTTATTAGAATACTTAGCACCTTGCTGAAGAAACTGGCCAGTAAAGGGTTTAGAGGAGATTCATTCAGGAGGAAGCTGTACAGTTTCATAAGTAAGGATTCTTCTTCTCCCAGCCTATCATTGATCTGTGAGACATCTGATGTAAGCAGCTCACACGATATGTTTGGATATCTGGGGGGGGGAATAATAAATAAATAAAATCATACTGTTAGTCATACTTCAAAGTTGTCACACTCCCAGCTCTGAATTCAGAATCTGGTAGAGCTTCTGACCAAGTTTTCAAGCAAGGTTGGTCTGCACTAATTAAAGCAGCAAACTACTGCATTGTAATGTAACTGTACATTCAGCATACAAACTCTATTCTTTCCTTTAAGAAATGGACTACTCTGATCTTCAGCAGCAACAGGATAACACTAGGGAAGTGGGGAAAGGAAAGGGCAAGCTTTTATCTTAAGATCTACTATTAAAGTCTCCTGTTCTATCATTAAGCCTATCTGTTCAAGTCTTCTCCTTGCAGAAGCAACTTCTTTTTTTGATAGGAAAAAGTTAGTTACCAAGAAGTTAAGCAGACTGAAGTACTGGACTAATACTGGGGAAAAAAGTGTGTTTGCCTCTCTCTGATATAACAGGGATTATATTAAAATGGCCAAAAGGAGTAGTTTCAGGATATTAAAATATGTATACATACTGTAGTTATGCAGAAGCTCAGTAAACTAGTCAGTCTGACAAAACCTGCAAAACTAGCTAGTACTGCTTCACGACACCAAAGCAGAAGCATAGTCCAGAACACTGAGTAATTCAACTAAGAGGCCATCAAGACCAGTAATTTCCTGCATTTGATGTACTATCACCTACTCAGACTAAAGACAGTTTTGACTGACAGCCTAAGGTTTTTAAATGAAAGAAGCTTAAGTTTCAAATGCTACTAGAAACACTTACAGGAGGCTTGGTTTACCAGAAATGGTGAAGTGCTGCAACTAACAGTGTAGCTTATTATTTTTTTCTCCCATACTGTTTTAAGAAAAAAAAGCTACTGTCTGCATAGACAACTCTAAAATAGGCCCAAAACAGTATAAATTCTTTTATACAAACTGCTAGGTTGACTTTCGAGTTTGAACCTTCTCAGCAAGCTAGCTGAAGTCATGGCCATAGCTAATTAATTCCTACAAAGGAATTCCTACAATTCCTCTGCAAAGGAGGACATTAGTAATCACATGTTAAGTACATTCTTTCATAAGCATCTTCAAAACATCTTTCCAATCATCAATAAAACAAAACCAAGCACTTAACTATACTACCAAATAGGGGTTTCCATTAAAGTGTTTCCTTAATCATCACAACTACAAGATTGTTCATGAGAGCTCCAATTTTTTTTTTTTTTTTTTAATTTTTTTTCTTTAAACCTCCTTTGGACAGCAATTGGTTTTGGATGGATTTGTGGATAAGAGGCTTCCATTTGAAAAAAATGCAAATACTAGACTGACTTTTAAGTTCTACAAAGCCTCCTGAAAAAAAAAAAAAATTGTTCTAAAGATAATGGTATTGTACTAGCAAGTACGAATGCAAAACACACTATCAAATTAACCAGAGTAAGATACCCCTTTCCACCTTCCCAAGTCTCCCCCCCCCCCCCCCCAAAATTTTCCTACTTATATCGAATTTGTTCATCCATGTCTTGAGGTGGCTCTTCGATAATAAATGAAACTAAGTCTTCCAAACATTCTAACTTCAGCAGAAAATCTATAAGTTTGCGATTCTGAGCCTTGCACTCTTGCAGAACATCCTCTTCATCCATCAATTCCTTCAGTGTTACATCTTCTCTCTCTAGAAGTGTATCTATGTGGGATGACGAATGGAGGTCAAATTTCCAAAACATGCTGGTCTGGATAAGAAGAATACACACAAAGCATTAAGTTCACAAATCTATTTAAGCAGTATTTGTAGGTAACACTTCATACTAGTATTTTATAGCTTCTAACCCCAAAGGTACCTGCATGCATAGAAACTTTAGAACTCAAAGGAGACACGACAGATGCTGACAATCAAAAGTTACAAAATCAGGCTTGATTAAAGATGACTGAATACTCTGTAGTAATTTTTGTACCTTCAGCAACAGCCAATATTCTAGCATCTAAATATAAAGTTAGACAGCTCCAGGGTTTTACTTACATGAAAGGAACATGCTACTCTGCATTAAAGAAATAAGGGTAACTCTGTTTTTCATCTATGGACCAGGTTTCAGGTTCAGAACCACGTGCTCAGCAATTAATAGAGCTTGGAAAGATAAAATGAGCACTGCATAAACGCACTTGAGTACTATTCCTACCACTGGAGGACACACCTATGAATGTTAAGGAATTATAACACATTTTAACTTGCTGGCAGTACACAAAGTGCTGGAGCTAATTTCAACACAGGACATTCTCACTCACTGCCCCTCCCTCCACAAACTTGACACACGAGGAATAACATTTGACAATAAAATATCTTATGCAAACATGTGAAAGGGCAATGGCCCCAAACACAAACATTGCAAAAGACTGTAAGAGAAATGGGTAAGGATGAGCAACTTCACCTTTCCTTATAAAAGGCTTTGGCATATGTTAATTTTGTTGCTCTAAGACACTTCGGAAGCAGTTGCTACCAAGACAACCGTGCTATCAGGAAAGAGTATTTCAGCCTATGATAGAGCTTGCTTTCACTTCACATTAAGCTCAATACAAGCGTTCGCTCCACCCACTCCTCTCCAAAACAGGTCTTGGATATGACGTTTAACCTCTGACACAGTATCAGCTGGTCTTACATGAATGCAGAACGTGGACTAAAAGATACTATAGATACTAGAGTGCAGCAATAGAAACTTTTCTTTCCTTCCTTACAATTGGAAGCAGTAATTGGTTTTTAAGCAGTACTCATAAGGAAACATTCCCTTTGTTCCTTTAGTAACTGCCTTCCAATTCAATACATTAGTTACTACTGTGTATATTAGCCACATCAGCTGTGAGGACATGTGGTTACTGCAAAGAATATAGATGAATAGTAGTATTTTAGCAAAAACACATCTGTAAGCTGCAGGGGATATGAGGCAGCAAGCTTAAATGCTTTTGCTGTACATTCTTATAAAAACCTACGACACCCCCCCCCAAAAAAAACCCCACAAACAAAACAACTATCTACTTCTTATGCAAACTAAGATAAAGACAGCTTTAAGCATTTATTTCCAAGTTAAAAGTGGATTCAGCATCCACACTAAAGCTATTTAGAACAGTGAAGTGTCAAATTTAGTACCTGAGCAGTTTAGAAAACAGGTAAAAGTCCAAGCATCCAGCAAACCCCTTATGATTACCTTCAGCAGCAAGACTGACAGTATTTGGCCAAACACTGAAAAGCCTGGTATATTCACTATAGAGAAGTTCTAATTGCTTTCAGGATTTTCACTGCTGCTTTAACCATTACACACTGATCACTTAATGCCACCTTGTTTTGCTTAGCCTTTTGTCAGAATGCATAAGTATACATAACTGCCCCTAGATTACGTAGCTTTCCGTTTAAAGATAAGGGAGCCAAACAAATCAGGAAAAGGTACAGCTAATTTCAATTGCAGTATCAGTACTTATCATCTGAGATCCCATGCACGGATTAAGTGGTTAAAAACAGAAAAATTATTTTCTAATAAAAGAATTAGTAACTTTACAAGTAGGGTTCAAAACATCTGATCTCATGAATTAGCTTAACTCAAATTATACAAAGTTGTTAAACACACTAGCTTGTGGGTGGGTATTCAGCCTACACAGATTTACTGTAAGCAAGTGAAGCGAGTGCATTGTTAGCTGTGGGATAAGTTCTGTTTGGTTTGCCTTTTTAAAGCCTCTAGAAAGCAGATCAGATCATTCCCCTTGCCACAATTAATGAAAGTAACATCTTTGCAAGTAACAACCATCAATGCTAATTCCAGCTGTAAATCCCTCTGCAGCGAATAAAGCTCATTTCAGTAGCTTCAATGTATTTCTCAGTTACTTATTTCAAGAGAAATTCAACAATGGAAAATAGCAAAAAAAAAAAAAAAATAAAAGGCATACTACTGCGAACATGTTACTGCGTTATTTCACAAACTCTCTCGCAGGCAAGCTCTTTTAGGGGTGCTCCCTCAACATGGCAGGTGCTGGCCAGAGATTATTCCGTCACTTTTCAACAGGAGCCCAGGTCCTTTGAAATAAGGAAAGATAAACAACATAAAATGTGCCAAGGATGAAGTCCAGGAACCCTGGAGAAAAGAGAATTTTCTTAGGCGTTATCACCGGCAATAATCTAGAATCAGTCTAACATAGTTCTGAATGGAAATTTAAAAAACAAAGTTGTTATTCTTCCCACAGCCTACTTTTCTATCCTCCCTCCCCAAACCTACCAATTCTGAAATTCTTAATTATCTTCATGTTTTTCAAATTTCAGTCCCATTAACATAGTCACAATTACGCCTGATGTCCACAAATCAGGGGTGCTCCTCTTAAATTTCACTATCTGCAAAGATAAACTCCGCAAATCTACTGGGTTGTGGTACTGCCAATGTTCAACTCCACTACCAATGCGAACAGAAAAATCACATTTGGATTCAATTAAAGATGTAAGAGACTGCTAAACATTGGACATGCTCAAGATTAGATACTTCTAGAAGGAAAGTAATCCAGGATAATACTAAAAACTCTCAAGTGTAGAAAGAAAAAGACAGTAAACGTGCTGCAGATATTTGTCTTTTGTAACTTGAGTTAGCTTTCTATAATCTCTGAAAATTTCCAGATAGCAAGACTAACAGACTTCCAGTTCATGGAAACAACACTTCTGAATGTTCACATCAACTTGCTGATGTGTAAGTTATGTCAATTCAAGATCTTAAGGAACACCTAGCATTCAGAAAAATACTGCTTTGTTTCCCTGGTTAATACTGTTCGCAGATTTGAATGAATGCTGAAATAACATTCCACATGGTAAACACCTGACTTAAATCTGAAAAGAAGAAAGCACCCCACCAAAATGCAGAAAGCCTGTCAACTGCTCTGAGATAGAGGTAACTGAAATTCTCACTTGAATTATTTACTAAAGGGAAGAAATAAAGCTTAGAAACAATTCTTTCAGACCAGAAAGAATATGAAGCTTTCTGCCTACTACAACTGCAGAAAACCACACAGTATTTTGTTTAACAGTAATTAAGTCTGTGGCTCTTTCTAGAGGCTGAAGGCTTAACTGGCATCTCCAACAAAACAAGCTGGTAACAACTGTCTCAATAAATTTCTGTAACTTCCAGTCGACACAGCTACCAAACACCTTTCCTGAACACAGGCATTTCTGCTTTCAATCTACAGGATGAAGATACGAATTCCAGTCAGACAAGCATTGTGGACAATGTCTCCTATACTGAACTTTTTACAAAACAGATGCATTACTTTAAAGCATCCAGAAGTCCCTTAAGCAAATAAGAAAGCTATTAAAGTTACCTGCTCATTTAACTTTTAAACATCATCCTCAGGTAAAACAGATACAAGAAACGCTCTGCATGGAGTTACTTACAACTTGGTGCCTCATACCTCTATGTAACAGGTGGGTATTGGTAGCTACAAGCAGACCCAGGGATCTAGACCAGTGCAGAAACAAAACAGAGGAACCTCTGCTAGTCAGATGAAGGCTGGTTCTACCTGACAACTGGATGTTAAAAGCACATAGAGCTTCCAATAGGTACTTCATAGATTTTGCAGCAATACCTAGTTTCATTTTTCAGCAAGAGAAACTTCTAAAAGAAAAAGCATAGCAGCGTCAAGCTGAAGATTCTGCAACATACCAAAGTCAGAGAAATACTACATAGAGAATTACAACAAGGACTGTTATAAAAAAAAAAATTGACAGTTACATTAGTTTTTTTTATGTAGCACCCTATTTTCTCACTAGAGGGTTCAAGCGCACATGAATCAGTCACTTTTGCAACAGCAAACTTTCCCATGACTAAAATACATCCTAAATTATTCAACCTACTTCAGCAAAACAGGGATTTACAACTCCTGTGTAGCAACTAACAAAAGACAACTTAGTAGTTGGATGCAAGCAAAGCAACTACCAAGAAAGTCCTTGGTGCCACTACAAGCTTTCAAGAAGGTCTTGTATTTCTTACTGATAGAAGCATTTATGATGCAGAAAATCCATTGCATTCTAAAAACCAGAGGCAGGTAGGTTTGGGGAAGGACAAAGTAATGTTGAAGATAAATTATTATGCTTTTATCATTAAAAGAATTTACCCATCTTTGTAAGACCTTTAAATGCATTAAATTTCTTTAAAATGCTATGCATGCCCTTCTGCCAGCTTCAGCTTCATATAACCTCAACCAGTTAGCCTTGAGGTACATTTAATTAGTTCCCAGTTCTATTTTTTTCCCCCTCCTTTCTCCAAGCAACAGAGTAATTAGGCATCATAATCATTTATAAAGTGCTTATGCTTACACTGGAAGCAGACCATCTGTTCAAAGCAAAGCTAAGCACAAGTGTATGTCTCAAATTTTAGAGCTAAACAGAATGACCAGTCACCCCAATGGAAAAAGAAGGCACCTGAGTGGCTGCTTTTCAAACTGTATTTCACTCAGCCAGAGCATCACCCACTATAAGCCTACTGCCTACAACTGCCTGTCCTTCAGGCACCAAGAGGGGAAGTGGAGGACAGTCCCTATGGCCAAGGAGCAGCAAGATGGCAAAGTGGAGCAATCCTCAGGAAAGGGGCCCACAGCCCACCTGAACCTCCTCCTCCTCCCATAAGAGGATCTTTCAGACCACTGCCACCCCCCTCAACTCCCAGAACAGTCATATTTGTCCACATACATTGCCACCACAGTGGCCCACAGATGTCACAAGCTACCTCACTGCCTCTTGTTCCAGGCCCTATAAATACATAGGCCCTGACAGCTGGTCCAGCTGCTGAACTTCAAGGCCCTCAGATTCAAGGATGATTGGAACAAAAAGTTCCCAAAGCAGCAAAGTGAGTGGCTGCCCACTTTTGCATGGGGAAGGCAGATGACACAGAAGACACAGACAAAGCAGCATCAGACGGAGTACACCATGGTAGCGATGGCTATTGCTCATGCAGCTGATGGCGTGTAGCCCATAGAGGTGTATCCACCCCAAAGACCAAGAAGAAATGATGGAAATGGGTCTACCTCCAGCATAGCTCCCCTGGCAACACTGCATCACACCAGGGCTCTTTTCCGTAACACCATAAGCACAGCATCACAGGAGTACCCAGCCAGCACAGACTCTGTACCTGTGGAGGTACATGATACTCTGTACCGTGGAGGCCCAGCTTCCATGCCTGACTGCCCTGAAGGCTTACCCATTCCACTTCTTAGCATTAAGAATTACTTTACTGACTACAGGTTGTGCGAGCCCTTCTCTTTTCATTCTGAAGGGAGGCTGGACTAGATGAGCTCTAAAAGTCCCTTCCAACCCAAACCATTTTATGATTCTACAATCATCTTAGTAAGACTTCACCATCGAGTTGTAACATTCAGGAATTGTGGGGGAGCATTCTTTGCACATAAGCTAGCAACGTTCCAGTGTTTTGAACAATTTGCAGGTAAAGTTTCACTTATACCACCCCCCCCCCCAAAAAAAAAAAAGCCAAACAAAACACCACACCTTCTCCCAAATACCACCAAGAAATCCTGGGTAACCACAAGCCATTTCAGAATACAAGAGAAACACTTCCTCACGCTCATTGACTATTGGACAATTTAAATTTGTACCACAGATACAATTCCTTCCAGACACTGTACTCATTTAAAGCACATACAACCACTATACCTTCAGAGGGTAACTACATACCCAAGTGAAAAACAAGCAAAAGACATCACGTAGTGGTCCTTGTTTGACTGGAAGAGAAACAAGTCAGAAAACTGCATAAAGACACAGTAATTTGCATAACATCCTCTTTTAACAGCTGCCTCTTCCTCCTAATAAGAAGGCAAATATCAGACAAAGGAAAAGGGAGCCTGCTACAGAAGCAGAACAGTTAAGGATTGAGATAGAAATTGTATCACTTTCACCCTTACTTACCACAGTAGCCTTCCTTATTTATGCATACTAGCTGCACTTCTATCTAGACCAGAACTATATATATACACTTTTACATAATATGTAGATAATAGCCATCATGTGCATATACACACATGCCTATTATGACTGTACATCCCAGTAATCAATTGCTTTGGCATGCTGAAGTACATGAACGAGTCCAAACTAGTTAATGTTTATTCAAAGACACCAATCTCTCAAAAACTCAAGAGGTCATAATTGTCCAGCAAAAGCACAAAAATCAGCTGAAATCTATAGCTTGCCATGAAGTTACAAGAGCAATTTTATACCAAGTACATGTGTATCCCTGTCAACTCTTATACTCTATCACAACCCATGGTGCGTTAATAAATTAGATCTTCATTACCTGAAATAGCTACAAATTACACACTGATCTCCCCAGCCCAAATAAAAAGGATGAATTATTTTCTAGTAACTCCACTTCAATAGTTGAATATTTACACATTTAAAACATTTACTGGCCAAAAAATTCAGTTATATTCTTATTTTGAATTCTCCCAACTATATTCAAAACGAATATATCTATGTACTTACAGAAGACAGCTCCATAATAATATAAAAAGCAAGCTAAGCAGTGCATAGCTATTCACAGAACAATTTGACACTGAAGCATGCAGTTTAGTACCAGAAATTCAGTTGCAAAAGATAGTATTACCACACTTCAATATTACAACCTATAGTGCTAAACAGCAGTCATACCTAATATATACCAGTTCATGAACATATTTGCTTTGGAATTCTCCCAAAGAATGAGAAAGTGGGCAGCAATTACACCTCCTGGCACAAAAGCAAAACACTTTAAAACATATTCTCTGCAAAACAAATAGAATAACCACAGCAGTGTGTCTAATGACCCTTGATTCCCGTTGTAAGACCAAAGCAGGGCTGAGAAAGAATATAGTGTAACAGGAGGGTGGGTTAAAGACAAAGTTAGAAACAGCCATCTAGAAAGCAATCCAAGAAAAGCTGCAAGGAAAGGGAAGGAATGGGCACAAAGTCTGAACTGCAGAAAGAAGGTTGTAAATGTGAACCTACAGAAATCAGGTACGTAAGCCTTTAGTGGACATCAGGAACAAGAAAAACTTAAAGCATTCAGAAACCATTTAAAATGCAAGGTTTTACAGATGCAGAAGCTAAATCTACTGCTGTAGGTGAAGTATAATAGTTTCTTACCTGTAAAACACAAATATTTTTTTTTAAAGTTAAAAAACAATGATTTGTATTCTTTCAGGCTCCTTGCCCATTACAGGGGATTCTGGCAACAGCAAAAAATTTTTCAGTCTACAGTATTAGCAGATTAGCAGGACTGAATTAGGAGTGAGTTAGATGAAGTAGATTTCTTCCTACAACAAAAAAAGAAATATTATAATTTGATACTGTTTAATACTTATTTTTAAACCAACTTGAATTAAACATCCCCCTTTATTTTTGGGAGACAAACAAAGAAACTTCATTACCTCATTGAAATAAAACTGCCTTTAAAATCTGGGCTTGACTGTGGAACCTAACAAAAATCCAGGCTCTTTTCTAATAAACAATTAGCAACTGCAGATGAAGTAACATCTTCAGAGCTAGAATAGACATTATTACTAGTTTTTTGCAGCAGTCTCTTATTTCCTTATAACTATTCTTCTTATATTAAGACCCAATCTACCCAAAACTGCACAGAAAAAAAGCCACACAAACATTAAGAATGCCAGTTATTTGGGCATAAGTCTGTATAAACAATTCAGCCAGTTTCAATTTGAAAACAGCTCGACTTGGAAAGAAACAATACAGCCCACATACGAACTTATAAAGGAAACGCATTCAGTCATGAAGACAACTTCTGTTTTTTATAGTTTAATTCTTCCAACGTAAAGCAAAGTACCATTAAAGAGCTTAATTAGATATCCATAACTGGCTTGAGAGTGCCCCGTGCTCTGGTCAACACCAAATAGGCAAGAAAAAGCATCTGATGTAGCTGTTTCTGGCAGCTGGAAGATGAATTTCTAACACAAAAATTCACCTTCCTTCTCCATCAGTTACACAGGACTTTTTGATTTTGTTCTTCATCGCAGGTTTCAAGCAAGACGTTTATTTCTTTTGAGAACAGGGGTAACATCGATCATTTAAAAAAAAAAAAAAAGTACTAGCAACTAAGGCGGCTAGCAAAGATTTTAGCACATTCATTAATTCATGCCCATGCCTACCTAGCATTTGCCCAAAAAGCTCTGCTATCAGAGTTTGTCACAAATGTATCTTTAGCTAAAAAAAAAAAACCAAAAAACAACCACACAAAAACCCCCAACCAAACCACCACCACCAACAAAAACACAACGAAAAAAAGCACCACCACCAAAACACAAAAACAAGCAAACAAAACAAAACCAAAAACCAAACCACACCAACCCATACACCTTAAAAAAGCATTTCAAGTACCCTGCCAAAGAGAAGAATTTTTTTTTTCTGACTTGAAATACCAGGTTATGAGCTCCAACAGTTCTGGAACCAAACCCAACAAATACACATTTGTATTTTTTTCACAAAAGCACAAGGACTCCAAGCCTTTGTACATAAACACTAAACACAATATTTTAATGCTATTTTAGTAACCAGGAACCTAAAGGCAATGTAATATATTAACCATACTATTT